CCCTGCTTACCGAGGGCGCGAAAATGGCGGCGGTATGGAGGAACTTTGCTGAACAGTGAGTACGGAAGCCATTGGAACGCATTAAACTAAGTTTAATGCGTTCCAATGGCTTTTTGCTTTCCGTTTAACCAAATTTTCATAGCGAAGGTTAATCCGGAACGGATTAACCTTGCTATGTGAGGCACCACTGTACATAAAAAAAATAAAACATCTCCTGAAAAGAACCCCTAGTGCATTTTTCGGAGCAAAAATTAATATAAGACCCTGTCTTATTTTCAGGGAAACAGGGTAGGTAATCATCTTTGCTCTATGTCCTACATGTTGGCATCTAGAAGCATCTTCTTCATGAAAAGAAAAACAAGCCTCTCTGTCTCACATTCCACAGCATTCATGGACCGTTTTTTCTACGTACACAAACCTCTCATTTTACATCTCTTTAGGATCTCCTCCTTCATTACACTTTCAAGCTGACACCCAATTAAGTCCAAGCAGGCATAATACAGAACACTCCGATCACTGCCCAAAGTTCTCATGATCCAAGCTCCAGGTGTCTTCTCCCAGTTAGTGGTTTTTGTGGTGTGTCTTCTCTCTGGACTGTTCGACCTTGTGACTTTGACAAGCAACTCTGCATAACAAGCTCATGAAAAACATCTCTTTCTGAATTCCTCTTACACAAAACCTAACAAGACTCCATCTTAGAGTAACTACAATTCCCAGTTTCCTTCCATTTCCTTACACTCCCATTGAAGCGATTTAAGCTCATTGAAATGCATGGCACAAAAAATTTGGATGGTGACACTTAGACTTCACATAACATTGTTCTGTTAACTGCCCTGAAACAAGCAGGTGTAGTCCACATAGGGAGACTCTGGTTGTGCAGAGCACCTGCTGAAACTTACAGTAAGATTTGAACTACAGGCCTCCTCATTCACAACCACATTTTCCTTACTGCTTTCTGCAGGAGACCGGTTCCTTGCTTGACTTTATCTGTCTTCTTTTCCCAAGACTCCACTGTCTGTGAAAGGTGGTGCCAGGGACTGAATTGGATAAAGCATTCTTTTCTTTCCTAAAGAGCTGTACTGGGAAATAGGGGAGGGAGAGAGTTGTAATTTGGAAAGGAAAATTACCTTGAGAAAAAACCCTGAAGTTGAAAGATGAGGCTGGCTTTTAAAAGAACCTAGAAACAAGACTGTGTTTGTGTAGTGATTCCTGCAGGATGTAGAAGAATAACACAGTGTACTGTTAGGTTCATAATACTGCTTCCAGCAATTCTCTGCTTTCATTTAAAAACAATTATCTGTTTGTGGGTGAAGCTTTGCTTGAAAGTCTAGTTCTCAGGAGAGTTGCTAAGTAAATCTCCAGTTACTGAAGCAGGGTTCCAGTGTCCTGATTTGAACTTTGTCCCTCCCATGATTAGCAAAGTCACAATAAATTGTACAAACCGGTGGAAAGTAATTATGGAATAATGCAAAATAAGAGAAATCAATCTAAAGTACTCAATTTTTGTCACCTCATTGATCTCTTCTTGCTATAGAATTTGAAGTTCCGCGGGTCGCCTTCTTTTCACATGGTGTGCTCACACATCTGCCTAAAAGTACAGAGTTTAAAAGAGTGTTCTAACACCGTCCTTCCTTTCCTTCTCTAGAACCAGTAGTGGAAAGAGTTCGGTTATCAATGCAATGCTGTGGGACAGAGTCCTCCCCAGTGGCATTGGGCACACAACCAACTGTTTTCTCAGTGTGGAAGGAACAGATGGTGATAAGGCTTACCTCATGACTGAAGGGTCAGATGAAAAGAAGAGTGTCAAGGTATGTGTCTGGGAAAGGTTTTTGAATGTGTCACACTGCTTCCTTATTCCTTAACATTCATAACGTTACATTAATTTCCTACAGAATGCTTCTCTAGATTATTCAAAGTAGCCTCCAATAGCTGGTGCACAAAGATTTTAAGATGTGTTTCAGAATATTAAGGGTCTGTCTTAAGTATGTTCTGAAAATATCCGAATAATGCTACAATGAAAGAAATACCGTATTTTCCCTGTGTAAGACTATACCTTTGTCTAAAATCTTTAGACTAAAAATTGAGGGTCGCCGTATACACAGAAGTAAGCTGAGGAGAGAACAAACACAAGTGGAGGGGAAAGCAGGTATCAAAGTGATCCTGCAGCGCTTTGATCCCTTTCCCCCTACACTTGCTAAGCCCCACTTAGATTTCTTAATTTGGGGTTAGAAAAGTGGGGGTTGTCTTATACATGGGAAAATACGGTATATTTAGAAAGAACAAAGTATGTTATCTAAGAACCATGATAATGTGTCTGAATCTTGGTTAAACTTTGGTTAATTTGGATCTGTGTTCACCCCATTGTCTGTTCTTGGAATTGGGGCTACAGAAGGAAGGACAGGAAGTCACAAAAGAGTTCAGGATTCACAAGAGGAAAGTCCTCTTTCATTGTTGGTAAATGAAAGCTGAGGAAAAACAATAGATGCAATCTTTGTAATTTCCAAGGGCGTAGATTTCTGGCTTCCAGTTGTTAAAAGAAGTGACTGTCTTTCCTGCTTGTTCTACATTATTCTGCCAACATGAAGAAAGAATAGAGCAGAGTAACAAGGAATAGAATTCTATGTGGAAGGAATGTGAGCTCTGTTCAACTGCTACTCAAAAACATATTTCTGCTAAGAATTTTGTAATTCAAAGTATGTGTCCTTTGCACCAGAAACCTGTTGGTGTATCTGGAGGTTCTACTTTAATGATAATTTTAAAAGCACAAAGTAGACCCTGCAGCCCTGATGTCTGCCCACCCCTGTTTTAAAAGCCTTTTAAGTAATTGTACCTTTACGTCACCATCCCATCTCTGCAAGGCTGACCTCTTTCTAACCTGTGAACTTCCTTTGCAGACTGTTAATCAGCTTGCCCATGCTCTCCATATGGATAAAAACTTGGAGGCCGGCTGCCTGGTGCATGTGTTTTGGCCTAAAGCCAAGTGTGCCCTTCTGAGAGACGACTTGGTGCTGGTGGACAGGTACAGTTATTTATTCATTTTTGTTTGGCATATAAAAGCGGCCGCTAAGCAGTAGATCTTCCCTTTAGCCACAGTTTTGCTCCTGGCTGCACTCTCATCTCTAAAGGCTGAGTTGCTGCAGAGAGGCTGGCTTGAAGACAGCTGGAACAAGAGGAAGTCCCATGACTAAGCTTAATAAAGGGAATCTGGCAGCTGGACAAATTTTAAATAGGTGCTTGCACAAGAGAAGAAGGGACAATGCAAGAATGATCACTGCCACTTTCAAATTTAGTCATGCTCAGTTTTTAAAATATCAAAGGTCTGCCAGATGGGTTAGGAAGAAAGACTTCCACAGAGGAAGCTTATGAAAAATATTTGAGAAGAGGGACAAATTCTAATGTCTTATAGTTAGGTACCTTTAAAGTTTTACAGGTTTATTGTTACATAAGCTGTTGAACACTAGACTCTACTTGGCAGCAGCTGCTATTTTTAAAACTTATTCTAGGCTAGTTTTTTTAATTTGGTATATTTTATATTTTCATAGTGATTTTTGAACTTGGCAAGTTCTCTTCCATGGATCACTGAGGTTTTTTTTAGCTGAAAAATAATTATGGCGTTGGAACAGTAGCCTCTCGGTCCAGAAGAACAGTGGACAGATGTTTGAAGGCTGTCCACTGTTCTGGCTCTGTGACCGCCTGTCAGGCTCAAGGTAACCAGCTTAGTCGCCCCCTCTGCTCTAAAACTGGTGTTGTTGAATGCCAGATCTGTATCCAATAAGTCCCAGCTGATCTACGATCTTATTATGGAGGATGATACAGACCTGGTGCATAACCGAAACTTGGATGGACAGTGATGGGGGTATTCCTCTGTCTCTTGCCTGTCCTCCTGGTTGTGCTGTCCAGCAACAGGGTAGACCGGGGGGGACGAGGTGTGTGTGTGGCCATTGTTTATAGAACCACTCTGGAGGTTGTCAGGCTCTCTGCTGTGGTGACGCCTCATCTGGAGGCCCTCCACGTGTTGATTGGAGCCAGAGATGGTATTGGGATCTTGCTGGTCTACCGTGCTCCACACAATCCAGCTATTTCCTTACTGGAGCTGGTGGGACCATCTCCACGGCTCTGTTGGGATCCCCGAGGCAACTCGTCTTGGGTGATTTCAACATCCATGTGGAGGTGGTTTCCGGTCTGGCTCTTGAGTTCTTGGAAACCGTGGCTTCCTTGGACATGTCCCAACATGTTAACGGCCCCACCCACGTAGGTGGTCATATGCTAGACCTGGTGTTCTCTTCTGAGCAGAGGGAGTGTGGTCTTATGGTGACTAACCTTGTGTCCGTCCCCTTGTCATGGTCTGATCACCACCTAATAAAATGCAACCTCACAGTGGCTCCTTCCTCCCCCTTGCGGGGAGCAGGGACCTATTTTAATGGTCCACCCTTGCAGGCTACTGGATCCCATAGGATTCTAGGACTCCATGTGAGGGATACCAATTGATCTGGCTGGTACTCCTGTTGAGGCTCTGGTTGACGCCTGGTTCACTGCCACCAGGGCTGTAGACACGATCACTCCTGAACATCCTCTCCATTGCAGAGCTCAACCAGCACCCTGGTTTAACCAGCAGCTGAGAGCTATGAAGCAGAACAGGACAAGACTGGAGAGCATTTGGAGGCGGAACCCAACGGAAAATAACCTAAAAGCTGTTAGAATTGCGTCCAGCCTTTACCTTTCTAAGATAAAGCTTCAAAGAAAGCTTACATTGCTGTCCAGATAAGCGAAGCTTCCAACCAGCAGGTGGAATTATCCCTCATAGATGCAATTTATCCGGAATTGATCACAGTGATTGGTCTCCCCCTAGTATCTCATCTGACCAATTTCCAGCACAAAGCTAAAGTAGAGGCCAACTGCCGGGACCTAACCCCCCTATTTGAAACCAGTCGATCGAGCCAAGACATCCAGTGCACTGTCTTGTCTGATGAGAATTACTCACTTTCAGCTGGTGATGTCACTTGAGGTTGACAAGGTACTTGATCACTGCCATGCTACCACCTCCTCTCTTGCCCGGCCTGGCTAATCAAAGCAGCCAGACTTGTGACAACTAAATGGGTCATTGCAATAATTAATGGGTCTCTCCAGGAGGAAGTCTTCCTCAAGGAGACACTCATTAGGCCCATTAGGAAGAAACTAAGCTTGGCGGCGGACAACATTGGCAATTATAGACCCATCGCCATTTCCTTCCTTAGCAAAGTTGTAGAGAGGGTGAAGGCTGATCAGCTTCAGGCTCTCTTGGATGAAACCAATGCCCTAGATCCATTCCACTCAGGCTTCAGGCCACGTCATGGTACGGAAACGGCACTGGTCACCCTGCTTGATGACTTATGGAGGGAGGCAGATAGGGGCAAAATGTCTGTGTTGGTTCTCCATAATATCTCAGCCACTTTTGATACTGTCAACCACGGTATACTCCTGGGATGGCTTTCTGAGTTGGGAATCAGTTGCCTGGCTCTTGCCTGGCTCTCTGGTCCTTCTTGGAGGACCGTTCCCAGAGAGTCCAGCTTGGAAAGAGTGTATCGGCCCTGTGACTGCTCAATTGCGGTGTGCCACAGGGCTTGATCATCTCTCCAATGCAATTTAATACAGTGGTACTTCGCAAGACGAATGCCTCCCGCAACAAAAAACTCACAAGACGAAAGCGTTTTGCAATTTTTTTGTGCCTCACAAGACCAGGTGGTTGAGGTGTGACACAGAGCACAGGCAAATTTGAGAGCAAGTTGGATCCGAGAAACACCTTCTGCCTGAAGGACTTTTACTTTGACCAGTGTTAACATACTTCTCAGAGGGATGTAATGGCCATCATCGAAAGAGTCTGACTTATTGCATGGGAGATAAAGAACCTTTTTCCTACCCTTGTTTGAGCTGGCTGTTCTATTTTTGTTTTAGCCTTATGTTTGAGCTGGCTATTCTATTTTTGTTTTAGCCTTAGACAAGTCACTCTGTTTTGGCCCCACATCCCCTGTTTTCAATATGGGAACATTACTGAGGCAAAGTAGTTGTCAGGGTTACGTTGTTAATATTATGTGTACTCTCCAAATGTTATGCAAGTGCTAAGTGTAACAAAGAAGTTTATCTATTAATGCACTGCAAGAACCCAGCTAGGTGGTAATTTATTTTCTTATGAGTTCAGTGAAATAGCTTGCTATTTCATGAAGAATCTGCATGCACATAAATATGGAAGTAAGATCTGAAAAACTGATTGCCTAAAATGTAGGTGTTTGCCTAATAGAAATTAAATTTACAGCACATTCAGATGAAGCAGGAATTGTACATCATCAGTGTATGATGGGAGCTGCTTTGTCTCTTGTGTCAGAACTGAATTGTGGCTAATTCACGGGGTGTCAGCATACAACTCAGTCATGTGCCTAGAGGTGCATATGATTGCACAATCAAGATGCACCTTGACAACTCACCAGTTAGCCACAGCAAGTTACATAAGCCTTTATATACACTAATAGGATTCTAGAAGCAAAATGAGATACTCACAGGCCTTTTGGCCAGGCACACAGCCTCCTTTTCTTCCTTCCTTGATTTGAGCTGGCAGACGTCCCTCTGCTATAGGTTTTTTAAAAATTTCATCTGATATTCAGAATTAGCAGTTTTGGAAAAAGTCAAAAGATTTTGCCCAATTTCAGCTATAGATCAACATTCTGTCTTGTTCCAAAGCTTAACTGTACTTTCAGTTAACTGTAGGCAATGAGTGTTTCCATTTTTAGGCCAAATGGAAACTACACATAGTGGAAGACGTAGTAGATTTGCTTTGCATTTGCAGAGACAAAAGGACTGCATGTGTGCCCAAAAGCCATATTTGTATTTTGGCTTACTAAATTGAGATGTGATTGTCCAAACTGTACTGTGTGTGTATTCATATTTCTAAATTGAAATAAGTTTGTTGTACACCCAGGTAACTTTATGACTTCACTCCACAGCCCTGGCACTGATGTCACTACAGAGTTAGACAGCTGGATTGACAAGTTCTGCCTCGATGCTGACGTCTTTGTTTTAGTGGCTAATTCAGAGTCAACTCTCATGAACACAGTAAGTCCTCCTGTTATTTTTTGAATATTTTAAATTGACTTTTTTGTACCTTTCCTTTCCTTCTGCCAGCGTACAAGAGCTTATCCTCATTTTAATCCTTTTCCACAATGGCATGAGGCAGGATAAGGGTATTGTAGAGCTGCAGGATGTGAAAGGAACTAAATTGTAAACCTTATGCTTTAGATTTGGAAGGTCCTGTGTTCAATCCACAGGGTATGCAGGTAGGTCTCGGAAAGATTTTTCCACGATACTCTCTCAGTCAGAGTTGACAATACTGGGTTAGGCACACCAGTTGGCTGACTTAGTATAAGGCAGCTTCCTATATCTTTCAATCTTTGGGTAGTTAATAGTGACTTTGTTAATCTAGACATAATCTGTCAATAATTAGAACGACTGAATTTATGGGGTACAAAAATATTGCCCTAAAAATGACAAGTGCTTTTTAGTAAGTGCTTCAGAGGTTGCTGAGAAAGTGAACGTACATGTAAAAACCATAGTCTGGAAGATAGTTTACATTATAGTCACAAAGCAACCAGTTTGTTTTGGAACACAGCTGCTGATAAGACAGAAAGGTAGAAGTAACTCATTTATTCAGTTTGCCAGTTTTTGCGAAAAAGTATAAACAATAATTCAGTGTGAAAAAGAGAACAAGGAGGAAAAAATGAAGTACATTTTAAAATTGATTTAATGTTCTTCCAATGAGAAGGCTCCCAACATGCCTACCTTCAATGAATTCTGCTCCAAATAGGTGACTGTATCTTTTGCACCAATGAACAGTCTAAAATATTTTTTTAAGTTCCTAGGTTGGATGGACAGGAAATGTAAACACCAACACCAGTTCATAAAGCTAAATAGTAGTTCTAATAATGACCACTTGTAAGCAGTTCAGATTAAGAAGTTCGACGGCTTGGTCTTTGAACAAGGATGCTAGATTGGCCAGCATGAAAAAGTCATTAGAGTGCTGGACTAGGATTTCTAACTTGGCCATGAAGGTGGTGATTTGGGGGTAACGTTTTTTGTCAGCCCGATCTACTGTACAGAGTGACTATGAGGATAAAGTAGAGAGAAGGAGAGTCGTGTGGGCTGCCTTGAGTTTCTTAGTGGAAAGGCAGGATACAAAAGTAATGGATGAATGGCTCTGGTTGTCTTCTCATCCCCCTCTGCTTCGGCCTGATGGAGTGACTGCTGCCTTGTGTAACATTTAAAGAAAGGGCCTTGTGGAACAGATCTTTCAGCAAGGTTGATGGAACGGCCTTGTCTCTCATCTCATCTCCTGCATCTGCACAAAGAATTTACAATTGATGTGCCTTTAGCTTCTTATTTACCGTATTTTTTGCTCCATAAGATGCACTTCCCCCCAAAAAAAGTGGGCTGAAAAGTCTGTGCATCTTATGAAGTGAATACACTTCTACAAGGGCTCCCTCCAATGTTGGGGGAAAGCCCTTGAAGACCTCCTGATGGTCCCCCGCCACCGCAAAGGCAAAAAGGCAGGGGGAAAGGGCAGGAAATTCGAATCTCTCTTACTTTTCTCCTGCTTTTTTTCCTTTGATGTACCGTATTTTTCGCTCCATAAGATGCACTTCCCCCCCAAAAAAGTGGGGTGAAAAGTCTGTGCATCTTATGAAGTGAATACACTTCTGCAAGAGCTCCCTCCAATGTCGGGGGGAAAGCCCTTGGAGACCTCCTGGTGGTTCCCCGCCACCACAAAGGCAAAAAGGCAGGGGGAAAGGGCGGGAAATTCAAATCTCCCTTCCTTTTCCCCTGCCTTTTTGCCTTCAATGTACTGTGTTTTTTGCTCCATAATTAGCTGCGTCTTATCATCAGGTGCATCTTATGGAGCGAAAAATACAGTAACAGCAAATTTTAATGCTCTCTTTCAAAGACTCATTCATTACCTTTTTAATTATCTCACCTAACTTCCTTTCTTTCTGCATTAGGAAAAACATTTTTTTCACAAAGTGAACGAGAAGCTTTCTAAACCCAATATCTTCATCCTGAACAACCGTTGGGACGCTTCCGCATCAGAGCCTGAATATATGGAGGATGTGAGTTACAGGTTTTCTGTTATTCTGAACAAGGGCCACAGAAGTGGCCTCATTCAATGTGTCAACTGAGAGGCAAAGAAAACTTACGGATTAACATTGCAGAATAAGCTGCTACCACGTTTCCTTTGTATATTTTCCATTGCCTATTCAAAAACTGTAGTGTATGATTTAGAGTCACTCAAGTAAGTAAACAAAACTGTACTAGGAACTCAACAAAGAAACAAGTATTTCCTATTGTTAGAAGTGATAGTTGAGCCGTATTTCTATCTGCTGTGGGCTACAGATATGTTGGTTCAGAAAATGATGGCTGAACAACTCCTAAGAGACCTTTATACACCTCTGGAGGGTGAAAATCAGAAGCCTGTGTTCATCACAGCTGGGATTTATCCCAGAAAAGGTAAAATCCAGAATGAAGCTATATAACCATTTCTAACCATATCAGAATTCATCTGGTTATTAAAGTAAAAGTTGCTTCATTGTTGCAGTGATTCCAGGCAATATCAACTTGCCAATTTCTACAAGCTTTATTTATCTACATTACTTTTGTGTTCTATATGCACAAAACAAAGTGGTTGAAAATATCCAAAAGTCTTACAGCTATGGAAAAACTAGGCACAAATGCTTAAACAATGTTTGAAAACTTAAATTGCAAAAAAAAAAAAATCAGATTTCAATCAAAATTACAGGAGCATAAAAAGTTCAGTAAAACTATATTAAAAAGTTTAAATTATATTCTCAAAATGCAGAACCTTGTTGCCTTAAAAGGCAAATTGAAGATATGAAGAATATACCTCTGAGGTATCAAAGTTCTTCCAGTTAAGAATATATGAAAGAAAATACATTTCTTAGTCTTTAAGGACACACACAGAAAATTATTATTACAGTATTATTATTATTTTGCCCAGTCGAGCCAGCCATGTGCCAGTTTGGATCTGTGGAGGGAAATCAATGATGATTGTGTTGTTGGCTTCTAAAAGTGAAGCCTGCCTCTGCACTGCTACATGCTTGCTGTTCTTTGGTGTCTAGTGCCCAGTATCACTGTTGTTGGTATCTGGTGTGTGGTGTGGCTTCTTGTTCTGAAGTGTGTGTCTCTTGCCTCTCTAATTTATATTTCTCTCAGTTGTTTACATTTCCCTTCAATTCTAAACAACTGAATTTTCCTGGTGTAGTAAGTTAGTTACTAATCCCTATAAATGGTCAGAATTTTTAAATTGAAATCTCTGTTATAGCCACTATAGCAAATAATAGCCATTGCTTTGACTAAATTGGCTTCTGTACCTGCACAAATTGTAAGTTACGTACTTGGGTACCATTTTGCCAGGCAGGCAAAATGCCATGGCTGTAAAGTGCTGGTGAATTAATTTGGTCAAATGAAACAGATTCTTTGCAGTGTAATGTTATTTTCCATTGACCTTGACTTCAGACTTGGCTGGAGAACCGCCTAGTTCTTTCATAGTTATTTTTAGTAAACTGTTGTTCAAACACCCATTTTGAAAACACAATGTTAGGTTTTCAGGATTGCCTTTTCTACACACACACCCCTCCGTAATTACTTTTAACGCTCTATGCATAAAAGATTTCACACCTTGACATTATGTTGCTCCCCCTTATGAGAGTCCCATGATTGTAGAACTGTATTGAACAATTCTAATAGCATTTTGAAGAGAGAAAGAAGCCCTTCTGCCTTTGATGGCATTTCATTACAACTCTACATATGCAGTTGTAACCCGGTTTTGGCAAATCAGAATGGCGAAAAGGCTGCCGCTGTGAGATACTGTGTCATTCGGCGGAGTAAAATTGCCTGTGTCCTGATGACATCTCAATGGCTGACACGGACAAATGTGAGGGATCGCATCATGTTAAGGCATCAAGAACAAGGAATTCAATTTTATTACATGTTGCAGAGGAAGAAGGACAAATTCACATAGAAGAACACTTTGTTTAGTAACCACACTGTGTCTCTTGGAAAATATGATTCCACCCAGAGAGACGGTGTCTTTTTTGCTCAGAATTTATCATTCTCTTCCTGTAAATTCTCTTGGTCAGACCAAGACATGATGCTGTTTTGACATACTCTTTCTCATGTCTTTGTGCAGGTACGGAAGCAGCATATGGAGCGCTGCCTGCGTTTCTTGGTAGATGAGCTCAAAGTTGTTGATGCTTCTGAGGCCCGGAACCGCATCTTCTTTGTTTCAGCCAAAGAAGTCCTCAGCGCTAGAAAACAGAAAGCCCAGGGCATGCCGGAGGGAGGTGTGTGTGTGTGTTTACTGCAGCGGGTGGGCAACACTCCCAAGGTCTGCTTCAGGCAACCCAAATGCCAAAGAACCAAGATAATGGAGGGAAAGTCCCAGGAAGTCCACTTTTTGTTTTGAAAAATAGGTATTAGAGCCCTTGGACTTTAAAGTGTAGCTGTTTCCTCTGTGGCTTCCAATAATTTTAAGTTCACTGCCCTGGTTTGTGTTTATAGGTGGTGCACTTGCTGAAGGGTTTCAGACGCGATTTCAGGAGTTCCAACATTTTGAGAAGATATTTGAGGTAAACGTTCCAAAAGCAACTAAACCAGTTAATGTTGGGTTTTGTTGCTGTTGTTTGTTTATGTTGTACTGACATGTTTACATCAGGGTTGTCAGTGTGGTATATTGGTAATTGTTTGCATGTAAATGAAACTGCAGCTTTGTCTCCTGATCTCCTTGACATTCTTGGATATTATTGCTGTATTTTATAAACCCGGGTGCCCCTTTCCAGGCCTGTCCCTGAGTAGATACTGGCAAAATTAGTTCCTTGGGAATACTGCAGTATTGTGCAGTGCCTTTCTAAAAAGCCTACTAAGTCTGTTTGAATGATAAGATGGCTATTTAAAATTAAGCTGTTTAAACGCAATGCTTGGAAAAGGTATTTTTTGCTCCACAGGCCTGTTGGACTTTTTGGACTGCAGTCTCAGGTTTCCAACTAGCTGCATAGTCGTTGACGGGCTGGCTGGGGATTCTGTGAGTTGTAGTCCAAAAAAATCCCAAAACTTTTCTAAAAGTCCATATGAAAAGTAACTCTTCTTAGATTTAGCCTCTTCCCAACATGTGCTGGCTGCAGGAAGTCCTGGGATCATTTTTTCTGATTTCTGTTTGAAGGGAGGCTGTAGCTGGGGTAGGGGCCCTCCTTGAGACTGTGCGGAGTTGCCCCTACAAGGCAGCAGAAAATAACTGGATTAGAAGAGTCAGTAGTTTGACTTCAAAGCCATGGCCTTGTCATGTCTTCCCCAGTCCAGTCTTCCAAAGATTGCTTGAAAGGGAGGTATGCTAGGTATGGATCGTCCAGACAGTTTCTATAGAGAATCCTGTGCTCTGCCCCTGAGTTATTTACAGGGGAGTCCAAGTTTCTGTACAGTCATTTGTACATCCAGAGAATGTGGATGAGTGATGTTGCTTGGACAGCATACTTACTTCTTTGTACTTTCTGTCTTTTTTCTGATGCATGACTAATTTTTCTCCTTCTTACAGTTTTCTACTATGGATTTTCTGGTTGTGTAGTGCGTGGGGGGTGAGATCATAACTCTTTCACCTTCTACCTGTTTGAAATGCGACTTTCCTTCACACCTTGTCTGGCTCTAACAATGTGCTGTTTATATCTGAACCTCTTGCATTTTCATTGCTGATTTCTAGATCTGCTTCATCGAGGATCAAAGCATTCTTTTTAACTATTATTTCTCATATTCTTTTGTTTTGTTCTGTTCTGTTTTTATCACTCCAAAATCAACTGGGTAGAGTGGGACTGTGACCTGAAAACTTGAGCACAGTAAAACTAAATGCAAGCACATCAGCATCTTCATCAGATAGGTAGATAAGGATAGTAGCAGTCGGTAACCAGTAGCATGTGCCGTAGCTCACTGACAGCAGCTTTCCACATGTTTTAATTTATTACTTTAGCCTTGCAACTATAATGACTAGTGGCTTGCTTTAGCTCATCAGTAGGAATAATCCTCCAAACCCACATTTTTACTCCCATGCTTTAAGATGAAAAGTGAAAACTCTTCCATTTGGAAGCTTCCAAGAGCAGTAATTCTACTCTAAAACAAGGCATGTTCCCAAATTCCAGGGGAAAAAGTGTCATTTCTATCCATTGAGTCACTTCCAGTTTTAGGTGTACACTAAAAGCTATCATATCTAAAAGGTGAGTGAATAGAAGCAGAGAAGCAAGTTTTATGAAATGGTGAATGAATGGTTAATGGCACATGGATTTACTTTGATCATAATTGCTTGCTTTTTAAACTCTTTTATCCCTTGCACATTACTGTACCTGAAGCATAATGGAGAACACTTAATTTATGACTTAATCAATTTGTGGGTTTTGATTTCAGTCTGTCTTGTTTTTCTTTTCCTTTTCTCTGCATTTTCCTCCATTTTAAAAGTTATGTTAAGATTTAAGTTTTCACAAAGAGCAGCAAAAATGCTTTCTGTCCTTGAAATTCCAGCTGTGTGTTGGTTATGGAATTGCAGTAATGTGTGTTGTGGCTTGGGCCCCTCGCAGGAGTGTATCTCGCAGTCAGCTGTGAAAACCAAGTTTGAGCAGCACACTATCAGAGCTAAACAGATCCTAGATACTGTGAAAAACATTATGGACAACATAAACGTGGCAGCAGCCAACCAAAGGTAGGCCTCCCCTGTCATGTTCTTCTTTAGCTAAGCTGGAAATGGCCCCCAGTGGCACTGACTTCTTTTCCCTTTATCAGGAGGTATACCGCTCTTAGTCCTGTGCCCGTAAGAGGTAAGTACAGGATTGTTATGGTTTGTCCCTTCAGATCTAGAAAAAACAAACTTGGGGCTTTCCCAATGGGATTGGTTATTCACCCTTGCTGAGAGCCTAAAGTCCCAAGTCAGTGTGAAAAATTGCCTCTAGATCTGAGCTGTTTGTCCAAAGCGGCTCAAACCTCAGGTATGCACTTCAGGTGTTATAGATGGAGATTGGTGTTAGTAGCATGCTAGAGGGGTCTATTTCCTTTCTAATGTGAGAATAAGTATTTAAACAGGGCCATCAAGGGAAGCCTATGTAGCAAGGCAAGTACAGCATATTCCATACCTAGTATTTATTTATTTAACTAGTACCATTCCAGAATGAGCTATAAATCCACTGGTCTTTAATGAAAGGGTCAGCATCCATGTACTACCGTAAGTGTAGGCAGGTGCATGTCTCCATGTTCTCTGTCTTCGCATGGAGCTTCTTTGCTGTAGTTGTTTTCTTCCCACATCTCCTTTATAAGGAAAGCATAGAAAGAGATGCATCAGAGAATAAGGTTCCTTTAACTTTAAAAGCTATGGAATTTTTCCAGGCAAAGGGGCGAATACCCCTAGCTCAGTGGTGTCGAACTGTGGCCCTCCAGATGTTCTTGGCCTTCAACTCCCAGAAGCCTTCAGCACCACCTCTGCTGGCCAGGATTTCTGGGAGTTGAAGGCCAAGAACATCTGGAGGGCCACAGTTCGACACCACTGCCCTAGCTGCTGAAATTCCCTCTTCTCCTGTGGTGGAAGCTACAGGAACCCCATACAAAACAGGAGACGGATGGTCATATAGAATAAACAATAGCCTTCCCCATTGTTAATCCAGACATAGTTGAGGTTTCAACTTGCTGCTCTGGTTTATATTCTTGTGCTTAGTCTTGCTTTGAGCTGATAAAGCCAAAGAAATGGCATCAGTCTCAGAGTTAGTTTCTGTTCCCTACTATATTTCTGGGGGAACTTGTGCCATATATAGAAGCTGACAGCTGTCTTTCTGCTACTTTAGAGTGTATTCAATGGAAGAGCGAGAGGAGCAGAAAGACAGGTTAGAATTTGTACGAAACCAGCTCAACCTTTTAACAGATGACATTAAGAAGAAGATCAAAGAAGTTGCAGAGGAAGTTGCAGACAAAGTAAGTTGCAGATTGTTCAAGTATATGTCTTGGAACATCGTCATCATGGCTGTCCTTTCAGTCCACAAGTCATTACTTTAGAAACATTCTTCCAAAATGATAATGCTTAACATCATGAATCCTTAGTGAGTAAAATCATAGTTAAATTACTGCCTTTTGGGCAAGTTTAATGGCCTGTCGTACTGGATTGTTCTAGTAAAAAGTCAGTAAGGGCTCATCATCTGTAGAGCAGAGTTGGCTGAGAACGTGAACTGTGAAGCTGAAATCCATGGATCAATATTAGTCAGGTCTCTGCATCTTAGACTGACCCCCTCGTCCTATGTGGGAACTACTGCTGACCAGCCTTCCTCGGTATTAAGGAATGATGCCGTATTTGAGATAGGAGGTTGGGACACATGTACTTGAAATCATAAGGTCTTTAATTTAATTCCCAGCATAGCTAATTCAATAATCTTGTGTAGCACAGCTGGAACAGTGCTTGCAACCTTAGAGAGCCACGACTGTAAGACTATTAAGAGTAATGGATGAAAATCAACTGCAAACTCTAGAAGTAGCAAGTTAGATACATAAATTATATGATATGAAAGAGTTTCTGTAAAACCTTTTAATATTTTGCAGCACCATTTTAGTGCATGTATTAGGAAGAGACAAAGATCTTTAAAAAGCATCTTGAATTTTTTTTAAATAACCAACCCAGATTTCTTTGTTAAAGATCGTTCATGCTGCCCTTGTTGACTTCATTCTCTCTCTTTTCCAGGTGTCTTCTGCCATGACTGATGAAATTTGTCGACTTTCTGTTTTAGTAGATGAATTTAATTATGATTTCCACCCATCTGTACAAGTTTTGAAGCTCTATAAAAATGTAAGTTTTGCCACATTTAGAAATATGTTTCTGTTCCCTTCTTTTTTTACAGTATATGAAGACTGATCTTAATGTAGTTTTTTTCTTTTACATCTGCATCTGTTACAAAGCTTTATATACCTTAAAAAGCAGAGTCTGGAAGTGGCCAAAATTATAAGGAGGGGCATGAAATGTACAGTATAAACCTTTTCGGATTCAAAAGAGTTACAGCTTTTCTTTCAACTACTGCCTGTTTATTTGGTTGAATGTTATAAAGAATCCCAGGATTTTAATAAAGATAATCATCAGAAGAAACACTGTAGGAGGAACCTTTTTTCGTCCAAGGGCCACATTACCTGTGCAGAAACTTGTTCCAAGCTATCTGCTAGGACTGTGTGTTTGTGTGTTTGTGTCCAAGGTTAAAAGACTAATTTTTTGGCTTCTACTACCATTCCCCCCCCCCCACGGGTATCCTTTCACACACATTTAACATATAACTGAATGCTTCAAAGACTTGCAGCTAAAGATTTATCAGCCTCTGCTGAGGACAAAACAAGGCTTTTAGAACTGAATGAACAGTCTGTAGTTATATCTTTGAAGTTTTGAAGTGCTTCGCTTGGTGCTAGTTGCTGCTCTGAACTGCTGTGGGAATGACTGGCAAACCAGTTCAGATTGCAAGAGGACCGAAATGCCTGAGTCAGTGCAGACACATTCCAGAAACTCATTTAGAAAGAAAGCCAATCAACTGATCAAAAATTAAAGGAATAAGATTAATGGGAAGGAGGAGTAATGCAGGATGTGGATTTACCAAGAAAGCTATGTGGGTAAGCTTGGGGGGCCCCATGGACTGGATTAGATTGGAAGCCCAAGATTTTCCCATTCCTGCTGTATTATGAGCAATCTGAGGGCCATTAGAAGTTGGTTTTAAGGAAGAAAATGGCTGGTCTCTTATTAGTGTGGACATGAAGTTGGTATAATTGCAGCCAATTGATAGGTTGGGTGCCGGTGGATCTTTGTTGCACAGTATGGCACACACAGGGATGTGGTGGCGCTGCGGGTTAAACCGCAAAAGCCTCTGGGCTGCAAGGTCAGAAGACCAGCCGTTGTAAGATTGAATCCACGCGAGGGAGGGAGCTCCCGTCGCTTGTCCCAGCTCCTGCCAACCTAGCAGTTGGAAAGCATGTAAATGCGAGTAGATAAATATGTACCACTATGGTGGGAAGGTAATGGTGTTCCATGTCTAGTCATGCTGGCCACGTGACCAGGGAAACTGTCTTTGGACAAACGCTGGCTCTATGGCTTGGAGACGGGGATAAACACTGCTCCCTAGAGTTGGACATGACTGGACTAAATGTCAAAGGGAACCTTTACCTTTACTTTACGGCACACAACCAGGCATGCAACCAACACACACCTTGACATCTCATCAGTTAGGAGCAATAAGCCACGGGAAGCAATACAAACCTTATGCCAACACTGGTAGGATTCTGGCCACTGTGTCTTTTGAGTGAAGAGTATAGAAACACAGTGCTTGCATTATCCTCCCCTGGTCCTGCAGAGCACACGGGCTATTCCTTTGATCAGAGAGGATTATGAACTTCAGTTGTTTGTATGGTACCATTGAGGTCAGCTAGAGAGCTACAACATCAGTGATGACAGAAGTACCTCTAAGAATCAGGACTTTGTGTGTTGGTATTGTCAAGATGTTCTAGATGTTAAATTTAGCAAGGACATTAAGTCCTGCTTCCACGTGCAAAACAGAATCATGTTAATATTCTGCATGGTTTATTCTCTGTGTGTTTTTAAGAGCACTTCTGGGGAAACTATAGGTGCTTTAATGACATGTTATTAGCAACTTGCCAATGGAAAGCTCAGAATGCTTGAAATTCAAGCTTCTACTGAGTCTGCTATTTAGAGACTACATGTTGCAGGTATGCAAAAGGGAGAGGACAGGATGAAGTAATTGTTTCGTTGATAATTTTTCAGTCTACCTTGGGAGACCCTGTTTCTTTCTATGGTAAACATGAAGCAAAAGAAACAATCCTCCTGGGCACGATATTCTGTGTATCATAAAAGAGCAGCAAATCAGTTAATGCTGTTGCTATATTTTTAATACCATGGATTGGGAAAGTTGCTTATGAGATTGTCTGCCTCATGTACCAAAATAATTTAACTGCTTTTGTTTGTGGCCAGAGGGGCACATGTTTGCTATTATGGTAAGAAGCTTTTGTCTCCCTTTTCCAGTGAGAACCATAGTATAATTGAGTTGGAAGTGGCCTCTAAGGCCCTGGGAGTCCATCATTCTGCTCAATGCATTGGGTGAACATTCAGGAAGGGAGAATGTTGTGCATTTGCCAGTAACCTTGAAACAGAAAATGTGTGATGCGTACAGTGGCTTGTGCCTGAGAGAGGATGCCGAGGGATCCCTGCTGTTAGAATGTTAGAAATGGCAGCCATCAGTGTGTCTTAAGAGCATTCACTTAACTTTGCCAGCCTGTTGGCTCTGCAGTATCTACTACCCTTGTCTTGGTTATAGGCTGAACTGTTTGCTTTCTCTGTTGCAATGACAGGAACTTAACAAGCACCTAGAAGCGAGTTTGGGAAAGAACTTGGCAGACCGTTGCTCCAGTGAAGTCAACATGTCTATGCATCAGTCTCAACAAGAAATGATTGGTAACGTTTACATTGAAGAACGCATAGGCTCCACATTTTTTTTCTTCATATGTGCTGCACTGCCGTCCTCCAGATTTGTAGTTTTTAGGAACACCATACTGTCCCGTTGTTATCCCCTTCCATGCAATGTAGCTCCATTTGAACCAGAAGCTATCGTTTTCCTTCTCTTCTGAGCCCCAGTTCTTCTTGGTAAGCTGCTTTGTTTCTGTCGTATGAGTGCCTGAGTTCTCAAGCCCTGGGGTTCTTTCAAGAACTTCAGCTTCTGATTCTACCAGCTAGTCAAGGGGATTTGGTCAGGATGCTCTGAGGCAGTGGTCCTCAACCTTGGGCCTCCAGATGTTCTTGGACTTCAACTCCCAGAAATCCTAGCCAGCAGAAGTGGTGGTGAAAGCTTCTGGGAGTTGTAGTCCAAGAACATCTGGAGGCCCAAGGTTGAGGACCACTGCTCTGAGGGATCATTCATGCAGCAGGGCACACATATTGGCATCTGGGACTGTACAAGGCCATGGTTGGGTTCAGATAAAGGTATTCATTGGTGCCTCCATGTAATGGATCAGTAACACATGGCATGATTTGTCTTTTCCTCTTTTTGAGCTACCACTTGTGTTAAGTTTGGGATAGGCTGTCCCTACGTCCTGTGCTGCTTCCATGTGAGTCCTGATGACTGTTGACCTTCAAAACAGTCTCACAAATACCAATTTCTCTGTCTCTTCCATTGTTTTGAAATCTTACCTGAAGTCTGAATTGAGGCCCAGTCTACACGGCAGAGAGAAGTGATCATGCTACCAAACCATTCAAGCTCGCTGTCTGTGTGTCTGCCTGCCTGTCTGTACACACACACAGCAGAGAGAAGTGATTGTGCTACCAAATCATTCAAGCCACAGAGCAGGGGTGTGTGTGATGGGGGGGGGGTAGAACCTGTTTATAACACCTCAAACGCATGTTATCTCCTTGTGCTCCACGTCTGCCCCAGCCTCATGATACCCTAAATTCATGCCAAGACTCATCTCCTGACTTTAATTTTTAAATTTTTGTTATCTGGACCTGAGTCAGAAAGTATATTCAAGGTAAGCAGGTGTTTGATAGCAGACGTTACAGTTGGTCTTCATGACTGGCCATGAACAAGCCCATATATGCCTCTTGGTGGTCTGCTTGATGATTTCCAAGTGAGACATTGCACATGGTATGCATGTTTTCTTTTGGTGGTGGTGTTTTGTTTTAATTCTCTTGTTTAACTGATCTGTTTTTAAAAAAATCTTAGCAATGGTTAAAATGAATGTTTATACCATACCTGGAATAATCACAACAGAATGGAAACACATTCTGAAATCAGTTGGGCTTTATTTTAATTACTTTTTTTCTTTTAGAAAATCTGCAGGCTTTGTTGCCTCAGGATGTCCAGAAAAACCTTCACTTGCTAATTCCGTGTCGGAAGTTTGACCTCAGCTATGATCTGAATTGCCACAGCCTCTGTTCGGATTTCCAAGAGGACATCTCGTTTCGATTCTCCCTGGGCTGGACTGCCCTTGTCAGTCGGTTCTTGGGCCCTAAAAACACCGAGAGGGTCCTTCTGGCCATGGCAGAACCAGCTTTTGCAGTGAGTGCTGCTGAGGTTTTTGTGTCAGTAGATTCAGCTTGTGACGCTGCCTGTATAGCTGGCTTCCTGACCCACTGCATGCAGGTGGCATCGCCATTATGAACGGGGTACTAGTTGAAGCACAAGATCTGCTTCCTACTTCAATGACAGGAACAGGTGCATGGCTGTGTGCATTCAAAGCTGCCTCCAGCAGCAGCAGGAGAACTCACGCGGATAGCAGCACATGCCACCTTTTGCTATAAGCCGGGATGGAGTTGTGCCACCAGGCATGCATGAGTGTTATTTGTGCAAGCATTTGTGTCTTTTCTGATCTCATACAAGGAGTAACTGATAACTCCACAATCCTAGCGCAACAGCATTTGTCTGCAAGCAGCATTGCGCAGCTCCAGCATGTCATGTATTCATCTGCTTGCACAAACTTATACTTGTGCAATCCAGCATAACAATGATGGCAGCAACTTTCAGTCTGTCAGCATTATAGGATTTAAGCTATGTTACTTGGTGAACACATTCCTAGACTTTTTTTCTCACCTCTCATGGTCCTGTGAAAAATGTAGTGATTGAAATCCTGTTGCTTAGCATAGTAAGTTGCACTAGAGTAGGCTCATTGACACCATTGGGATCAACTCCTCTGTAAGTTGTATTGATTCAAATGGGCCTACTCTAGATGTGATTCACTATGCTAGCCATTATGTCATATCAAGTATAGAATTCATTTTTTCCCAAGACCATTCTATAAAGCAAATGTAAAACCCTTGAGGCTTGAAAGGGTTGTGGGCAGCACCAGCTGAAATCTTGCTGAATCAGTTTCACAGCTGGAGCTGCTGAGAGGTGCAGAGTTCCTTATTTTGCCCATGCCTAGCAAAATCAGAAAATGTATTGTAAGCTAGTAAAATGCCATGTTCAGGAGCACTAGAACACAAGCTTATGCATCTTCCAGAACTGGCAAACATGGTTCCCTTTGTTGAAAGAAAGGCAGGGTGTAGGTAAAATGGAAGCTATAAATGCCATGTAATACAAATATTTAACATATGGGTACTTACTTACCTTGGACTGTTGGGCTGGACAGGTCTCTGGTCAATGAAATAGAATAGATTAAAAATGGCAACAGTGGACAACAAGCAGTGAGGCAGAATGTCAGCTGTCTGTTGCAAGAAATCTATTTTCCTCAAGTGTGATCTTTCCCCCAAACAATTTGGAAATCCTTCAAGAATGTTCTCTTGTGCGCTTTTTGACTGCATCCCTGCTCTTTAAGTAGCTCCGTTCATCTAGATTCTGCTTTGAGCTCATAAACACATGAATATGGCGTCCTTCTTTTAAACCCAGGTGGTCAGCCTTCTCTAGAGCTTGCACTTTTCCCTTCTAGATCCCTCGGTCTCTGGCCTCCACCCCTTGTGTCGCCACTGCTCCAGCTCTGCCACCAGAGACGGCATCCCAGGAGGAGCTCATGGTCTCCTTGGTCACCAATCTGGCATCGTTGACATCCCGGACATCCATGACGGTCATCATTGTTGGTGGGCTGGTTAGTAGCATGATGACTTCTGCCTTGGTGGGAAATCCTAAAGAAGAATATTTGCCTAAGGATGAGAAGCATCTAGTGGTGGATGCTGCTCAGCGTTGCATCTGCCCTGTCCTTTGATACTTTTCCTGACCCATGTTTTTAGGGTCCGTGTCCTGCCCTGAAGTCTTTGCCTGCAGTATTTTTCACACTACACTGCATGTCGTGTGGTCAGAGCTAACTCGCCTAGCTATAGTGCTGCAAATTTCAGCATGTCTAATGTTCAGATGTACCATTCTGCTGGACTGACAGTTCTTGTTCCCCAGTTTAAAGGCTTTTTATCCATGACTACAACTCTTGAGAACAGGGTCAGTCACTGCTTTTAATAAGCAAAGTTTTGGTTTAGAAATACATCTATCCCTTATGTTGATGCATCATGTTCACTTTATGGTGGGAACGGCCAAGAGCCTATTAATTAATCTGGAAGCAGATCGGAGAAGAATAACGTATCCATATATATCATCCACCATCCCTGATGTAAGTATAGGCAACAGTCCTGTTGCTTAGTTTAGCAAGTTGCACTACAATGCTGGGGATCTGGTGAGTCAATTCCTCCGTAAATTGCATTGATTCAGATAGGCTCACAGTGATCCAATGGGTCTACTGTAGTGTGACTTAGCACGCACACAGCCTTGGAGCTGTTACAGAAAACCTTTGACCCTTTCTAGCTAACTATCTAACCCCATGAGCACAGTGGACCTCCCTAGAGAGTGCAGTTGCGGCACATCCAGGCAAGAGGCAGTTTGAAGTTCCTTGCCTCTAACAAATGCTTTCCAGCTGATTTTCACTTGCCTGATCCATCTGTTTGATAGCATCTGCTTAAGTTGTAATCTAGTGGTTCTCTTCTAGGTTTGGAGGACGGTCGGCTGGAAGGTCATCTCCCTTTCCTTGAGCATGTATGGGCTACTGTATCTCTATGAGAGGCTCACTTGGACAACCAAAGCCAAAGAGCGAGCCTTCAAGCAGCAGTTTGTAAATTATGCTACAGAGAAGCTGCAAATGATTGTCAGCTTTACCAGTGCAAACTGCAGTCATCAGGTGCAACAGTACGTCTTCTCTGTTCTGTAACATGAGCTTTTGTCCCAGAGGGTAAAGTTCTTTTTGCAGATATTGCTCGGCCCTTGTTCTTAAAGGGGCAAGGATTTTCCTTACATCATTGAAGGACCTGTGAGTATTTCTTGCCTCTTCTCAGACACCCAAGATCGTGTGCTTGACTCTCCAGGCATCCTTATCAGAATTTGACATTGTGGCAGGGTTTTTCCCCCCCTTACAACTGTAAGGAGGGGAAATCTTCGGAGGCTGCAAAGCAAATTCTCTTTCAAAGAGATCTTGTCAGTTATGTGTATAACACAAGTCTATAATTCTCTCATAGGGAGTCTGTTCATAGCAGGAGCTCTATCGAGAATGAGACGTTCCAAACAGGATTTCTGACACCCCACCCCTATAATTTCCAAGACCTTTCTCCCCACCCACCCCCTTGGTTTATAACAACCCACCCTTACCCATTAGCAGACATCCATTTTTAGTTTCCGGCAGATTAAAATAATAAAATCACGTATTCTTCTACCTGCCTTAATTTTGTACCATACAACTGTAGCTAAACAGCTTCTACAGCGGTGGGTCCTTAGGTGCAAATAGGGAAAGAGATTGCCTACTTAGCTATCATCTTCCTCACCTCGAGGATCTTGACACTGGTTAATATTGTGGGTATCTATATTCAAGTATTGTGTACCTATGTTCAGAAATACACAAAATGCTTGTATTATTGCAAAAGATGGGAAGGAATCCCTTAGGAGAAATATTGACATAGTAAATCACAACTAGTAGGCCCTTTGAATCAGTTGAACTAATGGAGGAGTTGACGCACCAAATTCCCACTGAGTCAATGGGACTACTCTAGTTGCAACTTACTATTGGATTTCATCAACTTTGTATGTGTCCAGTTTTGCTGACGTCTTATTGCTATCTGTGCATGTAATGAACCTCTTTAACATAATTGTTAAATTTAGGATTTCAGGATGGGAGGCAAACTCTCCTCCTTACTTCTCCCCTGACACCCATGACTGGCATTTACTATATTTACTATACCCAGCAGGTTTTTATATACATTTAACTATGGTCTCTATTTTTAGAATTCTTTACCCAGGAAAGCTGGATTCTGAGATGAGAATGAATATTGCAGAAGATGCTCTGTTATCCTCTTCATTGTGTAAAGGGTTCTGTTTCTATGGTTCGGGTCTTGGATTTAAAAAAACAACAACACAGTTTAAAAGAGAATGGGAAAATCAGGATTTGCTTTTAGTGACAGGAAAATTCTCCAGTGCTATCACAGAGACCTTGCATTAGGACACTAAAGAAGGGCTGAAGCAGTTGTATTCCTGGGCCCTGGTGGTTCTTCAGATAGAGCACAGACGTGCATACAGGGGTGCAGTGGGATGCTTTGTGTTTTTGCCACAGATTTTATTTTGGAAGCTTCCAAAGGGGAACGAGCCGAGAGATTCAGCTTTGTTCCTTTCTGTTACAGAGAAATGGCCACCACATTTGCTCGCCTGTGCCAGCAAGTTGATATCACGGAGCGAAACCTAGAGAAAGAGATTGCAAGATTGTCCAAAGAAATTGCTCAGCTAGAAAAAATCCAGACCCACTCAAAGCATCTACGGTAAATAGCCATGTGGGGGGCAGGAGGGCTGGTTTTGCAATGACCTTCTGTCATCAATGGCTGTCTAGTGACACACAGCACAGAGAGCTCCATAAAATCATGGCTGTCTGTTCATTTAACTTGAAAGGATATGTTTTACTCTGACTGTTTTAGAAGGTCCCTTTTTATTCTACTCTAAATTGTATTTTAGACCTGAATGTGCCATCATCCATCGAAGTAGATTTTTTGGTGGTATATGAAACCACCAGAATATGAGCGATTTAATAAAATACAGATTAGATATACAGTAAAAGATGCAGATTAAATCTTGAAAAGAGATTAGGAAATATTAAAATGTTTGGGTAAATAAAAATTGGACTGCTGGCTGGATAGCTGAGTGAGTTACTTATCTGGCTATGGAGCCAGTAGTTGGGGGGGTGTTAATTTTTCCACTCCTTTTTTTTCCCTGTAAAAGAGCCAGCCTATGTGGCCTTGGGCAAGCTGCACAGTCCTGGGATGCCCCAAGAAAGGAATGGTAAACCACTTCTAACTACTTTATATGCAGCAAACTCCAGCAAACGTTGCCATAAGTTGGAATGTTGTTGATAGGGTTAATAGGGTAAGTGCCAGTCCAATCTCTGGAGTGCAGAGGGCACTGCATAGCTGGGATACCATGGCAAAGAAAGTCCACTCCTGGAGATATCAGTTATATACTATTGAAGAAAAAGACAAGAGGCTTTGGTCAATGATCTGAAACTGTACACAGGTTGATCGTGGTTGCAGATGTTCTTCCAGTGGATTAAAGCCCAATACCTTAAACTTGTATTTAGAACTGAACAGGTGATGGGGTGGGGAGGAACGTAATATAGGCAAGACAGACCTGCCAGTCAGAATTGTGGCTGCCATGTTGTGTACCAGTCAATGCTTTTGAAAAGCCTACAAAATCAGCTCCACACATTATTTGCAAACTTGTTTTTGCCATATTTATTTGGAAGGGAGTCTTCTTTAGTCCATGGCATCTGTACCGATAAATGAACAAAACCATAAGTGTTAACAGCTGTGGTTGGTGGATTGTCCAAAGAAATTGCTCAGCTAGAAAAAATCCAGACCCACTCAAAGCATCTACGGTAAATAGCCATGTGGGGGGCAGGAGGGCTGGTTTTGCAATGACCTTCTGTCATCAATGGCTGTCTAGTGACACACAGCACAGAGAGCTCCATAAAATCATGGCTGTCTGTTCATTTAACTTGAAAGGATATGTTTTACTCTGACTGTTTTAGAAGGTCCCTTTTTATTCTACTCTAAATTGTATTTTAGACCTGAATGTGCCATCATCCATCGAAGTAGATTTTTTGGTGGTATATGAAACCACCAGAATATGAGCGATTTAATAAAATACAGATTAGATATACAGTAAAAGATGCAGATTAAATCTTGAAAAGAGATTAGGAAATATTAAAATGTTTGGGTAAATAAAAATTGGACTGCTGGCTGGATAGCTGAGTGAGTTACTTATCTGGCTATGGAGCCAGTAGTTGGGGGGGTGTTAATTTTTCCACTCCTTTTTTTTCCCTGTAAAAGAGCCAGCCTATGTGGCCTTGGGCAAGCTGCACAGTCCTGGGATGCCCCAAGAAAGGAATGGTAAACCACTTCTAACTACTTTATATGCAGCAAACTCCAGCAAACGTTGCCATAAGTTGGAATGTTGTTGATAGGGTTAATAGGGTAAGTGCCAGTCCAATCTCTGGAGTGCAGAGGGCACTGCATAGCTGGGATACCATGGCAAAGAAAGTCCACTCCTGGAGATATCAGTTATATACTATTGAAGAAAAAGACAAGAGGCTTTGGTCAATGATCTGAAACTGTACACAGGTTGATCGTGGTTGCAGATGTTCTTCCAGTGGATTAAAGCCCAATACCTTAAACTTGTATTTAGAACTGAACAGGTGATGGGGTGGGGAGGAACGTAATATAGGCAAGACAGACCTGCCAGTCAGAATTGTGGCTGCCATGTTGTGTACCAGTCAATGCTTTTGAAAAGCCTACAAAATCAGCTCCACACATTATTTGCAAACTTGTTTTTGCCATATTTATTTGGAAGGGAGTCTTCTTTAGTCCATGGCATCTGTACCGATAAATGAACAAAACCATAAGTGTTAACAGCTGTGGTTGGTGTTGTTTTTTTTTATTTAGCCCCAGCCTTTTTCCTTCACTGCTATTACATTGCTGTTGCCTAAATTATAAATTCCACTGGGAAATCATGAACTTTGAATGCAACAGTTATGGAATCCACCAGACAAGATTCCAACTCCCATTTCTGTGTTCTTAAAAAAAGTGTAGCCTAAAGATTATACTCCCCAGATAGCACAAGCGCAATGTAGAAATCAACACCTATGGTGTGACAAGCCTTCACATCTGTATGTTTCCTGGCAGCAGTTGAAGCAAAACATCTCACCTCAGGGCTCATGGACAAGTTAAGCACCTTTCGCAAACATCACAACCGAAAGTGCTTCATTTGTATGAAATGACTGAATTTCTTGAGCTGCCCTGCTGTGTTGCAAAAGGGTGGAATAAAGATATTTGAAAAAAGGAAAATTGCCTGTTCCACCATACGCACTTTTTTGGCAGTTGTGCGGGGTATATCGCATGTCCATCAAATTTGGTGTAGCAGACTGTGACGGTATTAATGCAGGTATAAATCACTTTGTATTGTCTCTCTGGTAGTCCTCCAGATCAAATTTGCCTGAATGAAGACTTTTAGTGGAAAGGGCGGAAAACTGGAAGTTTCTCCCCCCCCCCCCCCCCCCCCCCGCTTTCCTCTATCAAACCCCTCCCGTCAGTGGAGTGACCACCATGGGTCATAACCCATTTGTTTCCCTTTGTTGCCAGAAATTATTTGTGAATTTGGAAGGATGTAATGCATCTAGCTGGAAGCTGATTAATTTTCCCCCTTTCTGTTTCACAGAAAAAAAGCAGTTCACCTTGAAAATGAATTTGACTGCTTTACAAAGGATTTTCTCCAAAAGAAGAAATGAGACGCTGTCAATGGTTTTCTAATGCTCTGGGTGCAATTGAAAAGATTTCGCACACATACAGGTCAAATGAATTTTTTAAGCCCCCTGTATTGTACCTGCCCAGTGTTGCCTCGCTCTTTTTGTGCTTGGGTTATGAATTGTGCCTGAGAGGAGACAGTATTTATCCCTAATGAACCATTTTGCAACTTAAATATGAAGTTTCTTTGGAGATGTAAAAGGAATAATAAACCAGCAAACAAGAAGCAAGAAGTATTTCGCATTAGTGTTTACCTCAAGAATCTCAACCCCCTCTTTCTGGCATCCAGAAAGAGACTAGAGGCTGTGTCCACCCTGGGATCCTGTGTCAAAGACGGAATTCTCTGTGGGAATGTAGGTTGCTGACCTTTACCAAAATTCTGTTACCAAGGTTAAAATATAGAGTGATAACAAATTGTATTATGGAATCTGAATGCAGTAGACAATCAGCTTGGCTGGGCATAAGGTGCAAATCCAGAATTCTCATCTGATTGAGAGGCAATGAGATTTTTATATTTTGTACTGCATATTTAAAGCTTTAATATCACTTGCATAGAAACGTTCTCAATTAGGAGGAAGCACATTGTTTAGCAAAGAGAGGCATATTTCACTCAACTGTTCTTGGGAAGTAGGTACCTGCATTCTTTTTCCATCATCTTGTCTTGAAAGATCAGGGAAGGTGTGATGGCTTAAATAAGATTTGTGGTATGTTTAACAGTATGGAATTCTCTGCAGTAGTCGATCTAGCTGCACCGGTCTTCTAACCTTGGCCTGTTAATGATGTTTTTTCGAGGCTCCTAGATGTCCAAAATCCATCTGCATCATCCGTCCCAAGTGCTTCTAAGCTAGAGACCTACTAGTGAGACATTTCTGAAGACCTTCCAGGCTGGCAGATATTTCATGTGACAATATGAGAACCCAGCCCCAGGTGTCTCCCTCTCCCTCCCATGATATTGAAATGAGCCCAAAGTTTAAGCGCCCGATAGAGTAGTTAGCAGTGCACTTTAGGAACTATCACAAAATATGAATTGAGTGGATCAGCAATGGGGGAAATGCATAAACAGGGCAGTCTTTATTGCTCCCACTGGTTCTTTCCATGATGGTGGTGATGGATAAGCCCCCAGTATTAACAACCTGGATAATCAAGGACTATCCTGGCATTTAGCCATTGTTCTTGGGACACTTTTTCCCTGCACTGGCATTTTCCCAGGGCGCTCTACTAAAATGAACGGAAATAGAAGCGTCAATTACTCATACCCCTCTATTGTGCACACATCATGGATGACTGTCACATCCCCCATCCTAGTACCGCACTGGATATACTGCCCAGGGCTGATGGGAGTTACTGCCTAATCCTGTAAAGTCCGTATGTTCCCCACCCCCAAAGTAATGTGTTATTTTATTAAATGCTTTACAAAATGTGTTTAGTTGGGGAAGATAACAGATATGCATGTCTTTCAACCAAAATGGAAAAGTAGCGCAAGTTGTAAAAACAAAAATACACTCTTGTGGTGGCACTTGATGATAAGGTAACTGGTGTAACAAAGGGCTAATAAAACAATTGCTGAGTTTCTACCTTTGTTTCTTTTTCAGCAGCAAACAAGGTGGTTTCTTGTACATTAGCTCTGGTAAACATGACATGTTTATTATAATGGTTTCCACATGGGGTGGGGGAATGAAATTATAAAGATGGCTGTTCAAGTTCTGAAATTTGATGAAATGTGTAGCAAAGTCACAGAAGGAACAGTATGAAAGTCGCAGTGGTAGATCTGAAGAAATCAAGCTGTTTATAGAGCTTGATGAATAATCCACATGCTCAATACTTGCTATTTCCTTGGCAAAAGCTACTTTCATAGGCTTTCCAAAGTCATTCAGAATCTGCTACTGCAGTGGTCCCCAACCTTTTCTGAGTCACAGACCAGTTGGGGGGTGGGTGGGATCCATTCATGTGGGGCAGGGCACTCCCCATGCTTGTGGGTGGGGTGTGCTCATGGGCGCATGCACAGAGGGAAGCGGCAGGACAAGGTCGTGGGGGGGAGGGGCATGCGGGGTGGGGGTGCAGGTGACAGGCCATGCGAGGGGGAGTGCATGCGGGGTGGGGGTGTCTGTCTTTGCAGCCCAGTCCTGCCATGGCCACAGACCAGGGGTTGGGGACACCTGTGCTACCATCATACACATAGTTCCATTTTGTTTGCTTGTTACTATGTAGCAAGTACTATGAAGATGTGACTTAGGGTAGAACAGTCTGGTGAGGCTTTACTGCCTGATGTCAGGTCAAGTGGGAGTTTAAAGCCTCATTACTCCATGAGAATAACATTCTTCTTTTTAAAATGATCAATCTATTGCTTAACGTAACAAACTTAGCTTTCCTTTCATAGTGGAGTGTCCTCAATTGTCCACAGTCGATCAAATGTTCAAGTCATCTCTTACATTTCATCCAGGCAAACTCTTTATAGGTTTACAGCACATTTGTACTACTGCAAACCTCAAGGGTATCTCCCCCAAGTGTAGAGATTTTGACTATGCAGGATTTGAAGAATGGATGTGATAGTGGCATATAAAAGCGAGACCTGTAACAACATGGCGGTGTGGATTTCTCTCCTTATGGTTTCCCCTCCTCTAAAGTTATCTCTGTATTTCTTCAAACTTTCCTGCTGCTACCTACCCATTGGGCATTACTCGTGAGGTTCTTGCTACCCAGATAACAGCATTTCCATTTACTCACAAGCAATAGAAATGTCAAGGTCGGATGTTTTGTACTTTAGTACTTTTCAGTAATTTGAAAGTATTTTTATGCATACAGTATAAAACACAGATGTGATTTAGATGAATAAAGCTTGTAGAATAAGGCAAGCTGATGTAGGTGTGGGCGTCTAGAGAATACTTACTGCACTATGGTTTAATTGCATCCACTTAAAAAATGGCTGGTTTTGTATTTTTTCTTATTTTTCTTTAATACTAGCATTATTGAAGTATTAATTCATCTTTGGGCTAGTGTAGTGAGCACCCACTCAGTAAAGTTCTGTAGAGTAGTGCTGACTATATCAGTTTTCAGGCCTAGTAAGAAAAAGCAAAGTTTCATATTCTGAAGTTCAGTTGTTCTTTTTCCACGTGTACAAAAGATCTAGTAAACAGCTGAGATAACATTAAGTAGCCTGCGTCTGGTAAAAATAATCTAATTAACATTTTGATTTGTTTTTAATTTTACCTATATTTCATATACATCCATAATATTAAACTGTGCAACACTCTGATACAATTAAAAAAGATTAATTAGATTAACTAGATCACCCCAGGGGTATTTCATTCTAATTTTATCAAGGTAACTTGTGTAAGGGCAAAAGATTTTTGTTTGCAACTTCTTGGGGTACAGATCTATTATTATCTGCATACAGTACATTAAAAGTTTCTTCTGCCTTCTGAATATGCTTTGTAATGGACTTGCATGAAATATATAATCTCACCAGTTTTTTTCCTGCTAGAGGTGTTTTGAGCTTTAGTGCTCTGAGTTTCTGCTAGGTCTTCTAGTCATTTTGAATAAAGTTGAATTAATCCACTTCAAGAGAAATATAATTAAATCAGTCCCTTCTGAAGCTTCACCCAGGCCATATAGGAAGAGATTATCCTAGTGACTTCTGACTTGCAGGATCTTTACTCATAGTTGCAAGCCTTCCTTTGAATCTATTAATTTTTAAGTTGCTGTTTAATTCTTTATTCCTAGGTCTAAAAGTTGTTTCAGCAGTAGACTCAACTGCTATTGCTTCAATTTTTTTCTTGTAAATGATTTGTCTCAGCCCAATAGTGTCTCAGTTTTACTTGCTCTGCTACATCTCTAGGTGGATCTGCCCACTTTTGGTACCTTTCCCATCTTTGCTTATGCCACTTTCTAATTTCCCAGTGTGGTGTAGTAGATAAAGAGTGACAGACTAGGATTCTAAAGACCAGGGTTTGAATCTCCACTTGGCCGTGGAAACTCACTGGGGGAATGGAACCAGTAAAACCATTCCTTAAATATCTCACCTTGAAAGCCTTGTTAGGGTCGTTGTTATGGTAAGTCATTTCTGACTTGATGGCCCAGAACACACAGAAGCCACTGTCTGAATCTTGTAGGCCTTATTTCTGTGAGGAACCTTTTGAATTGAAATACATGTGCAAATGATTTTCTTTTGGTGTAGAAGTGGAGAATTATTTCTACTATGTTTATGTACAGCGATATATTTGCTTTTTGTTTTTAATTTTGCTCTGACAACGGGTAATCAGTCCACAATAAGTAAGTAGCTAAGTTCTTGATGAGCTTTGCCTTCTGGCATCTGATCCCAAACAAAACATTGTGATAACTAACCAGAGTATGCCCTTAGGATCAGGAATGAAATAAATCAATTGTTTAAAAATCAGGTTTACATAATTCAAAAAAAAAAAAACAATTAAATCATGATTTAAATCAAATTTATCCCGATTAGGATATTGTGAGGGTTCCGACTTTAAGTCTCTTGTCTCCACAACAAAATCAGGAGGCTTTTTCAACCTTGAAACGGGGAGAGGTTTATTGGAGTATTTAACAGGAAACCAGTGTCCAAGTAATTATTCCATAACTTTTCTCCTGTCACCAACGGGTCTGACAAGGGGACCCAAGCGTCATTCAGGAAGCGGTTAATTTCATTATTATTCCAGGGACCCGGCTAACCTGTTGCTGCAGCTTCTTTCTTTTGGATCGGACCACCCAGCTTCTCTTGTTTGAGAGGTCATCCAGGGTCCTCCTGAGAACTTCACCTCCTCATCTCCTCTACTCTCCATGCTAATCTTTCTTGCTTCTCCCTTTCTACTTTCTCCTTCTCTTCCTTCAATTTCCTCCGCCACTCCCGGGCTTCGGCCTCACCTCAATAAGACGGTCTGGGGGAATCTCTCTCCTGTGACAATAGTCATCCTCCTCTTTAGGTTTTCGCAGGCGTTCCCCTTCTCCTGTCCATGGGTCTTTTAGCCATACCCACTCCCAACCTGGTGGCAACTGACTTTCTCCCCTTTTTATTTCTGCTGTCCCCACCTCAATCCCCACCCTCATTTTTCTCTCCTTTCCTGCCAAATCTTCTGTGGTTTGAATGGCTACCATTGACCGGTGCAATTCCCTCTCCCACGTCCTGGGTGTCAGTGTCCAATTGTTCTCTTCGGCAGGGAGCTGGAGTTGGCAAGCTCAGGAGTTACCTTTCCATAGTTTGTGGAAGGGACGGCACTCCAGCAAAAGACTCCTTTCTCTCACCCCCTGTCTCGCAGATGTATGTATAAAGAGTATACAAAAAAATGGACGTGGTGGTGCTGGGGGGTTAAACCGCAGAAGCCTCTGTGCTGCAAGGTTGGAAGACCAGCGATTGTAAGATCGAATCCACACAACGGAGTGAGCTCCCGTTGCTTGTCCTAGCTCCTGCCAATCTAGCAGTTCTAAAGCATGTAAAAATGTGAGTAGATAAATAGGTACCACCTCGGTGGGAAGGTCACAGCGTTCCGTGTCTAGTTGTGCTGGCCACGGAAACTGTCTACAGACAAACGCTGGCTCTATAGGTTGGAAACGGGGATGAGCAACGCATCCTAGAGTCAGACACGACTGGACTAAATGTCAAGGGGAACGTTTACCTTTACCTCTAAACAGTCAAGTGTCATTTTTCTTTTTTTTTCATTGATATCTTAACTTTCTTCTTTATTTCCTGTCAGAATGCAATGATATTATCCATGAAATTCATCTGACTTTGACAAATAGAAAAGTAGAATTTAACCCCCACCTTTTTGTACATGGGAATGTTTACTATGTCCCATAGTATGCCACCTCTCTTAAAAAGCTTAAATGAGGGAATAAACCACCATAACCAGGAAATCATAGTTAAAAGCAGTTTATTGGTTACAATGTCAAGTCAGGCAACATTTTTCACTGAGCCACTGTACAAATACAAAGAAATCATTATGGAGGGGAAAAAAACTATAAACAATTCATAGCAAGTGATTTTTTTCCACAGGGAAGGCTTTATAACAACAGCACTGTTAAAGAACAAAATGACGCAAGTCCCTGGGTTCTTTGTGTTTAATTAGGTTAAATAAAAGGATAGGACTTTTTGAATACACGATCCAAAAGAATCACTTGGTACCTAGAAATGTTTTGGAAGGTTGTCCTCAAGCTGGCAACAAGTGAAGTTAAAAAAAAAGCCACACATACATCTTGGATGTGAGAGGTTGAGATAAGTCATTAGTTAAAGCAAAATTAAAAAGACGATTCTAAAAAGAATTTAACGTATTTCCTTTGGGTAATGATGCAAGTATACATACATAGCGATATATCGCAGCAAGGATGAAACAAAGAGAGCACCATTGTGTTGTAAAAACAAAGGCTTGAAAATTTCTATGGTGTCCATGTTAGTCTAAACCAAACATTGTGTGGCACAAGGAAGGTCAGGCACATTTTTAAAACTCTTATCATTTCTATACATCATTAGTAACACTGTTCACAGACTCACCATAACATCACTGAGCATTTAACAGTCTTGCATGTATTTTACACAATCAGTAATTGACTTTTAAAAAAAAGACTTGCAGTGCCTCAAATGTGGAAGAAGTTGTTTTGGGCAGCACGAGTACCACTTTAAGGTAAGAGGAAGGGGACCCAGAGACCCTAATTTCTAAGAAAGGGCCATGTGGCATTTCTAAATAATGGCTCAGCTCCAAGAGCTTTGTACATGTGCTTAGGATTTTTCCACACATTCCTGGAGGGCAGGCTCCCCATCTACAGCCATCCAAGAGCTGAGCACTTTCAGAGGAACATTCCTGGGAGGCAAAAGGAGCTATAGTGAATACTGGGAATCGAAGGAAACTGTCAAGAAAAGCCGTAGGAGGCACACAGGGCTTTGGATTCTACCCACAAGGGAACAGGTTTCTCCCCGGACTGATCACAGAGCAAGCCCTACTGCAACCACAGAGGAGTGGAAGGTGTTGTGTGGCATGGTACAACTTGCTCTGTGATGTGATGCCTCTAGGCCAGGTGCTTTTTATGCAATTAAGAGCCATCCTGGTGGGACTGCCTACTACCTGGTTGCCCATTCTCTCTCTCTCTCTCCCTCTTTCTGTTTTTGGCACCATCAAACCCAACTTTGTAACTTCTACTAGATACGCTACTGCCAGGCACTTCAATACACTGGGTATTTGAAGCCAACAACCAATTACCTAGTCATATTCACATTTACACAACAACAAAATCTGACACGGGAGGATGAAGAAAGGGGAAACACAGAATTTTTGACTACTGACCTTTGCTGTGGAACAAGTTACTAAAACAAAAAACCAGCATGAAAGTTATTTTCATTTTACACACGTGTTAAATGTTTCAGAAAAGATGCTTTACTAATCACAGATCTTTCCTGGCAAAACAGCTGTTCAAACTCCTAGCCTAGGATGTTCTCATGTTTTAAAACACATTGGCCAGAATCCCATCGGTAGTTTATGTATGTGAAACTGCATAACCCACAATAAACTACTGAGGTGCTGGTCCCATTACAAAGTATCTGCCCAGTTATGCAAGTAGTGTCTTCTTAGCAGAAATTTACAAATGTGAGTTACACAATCTAGTACTGTATATGCATATGTAAACCGCCAACAGGATATCTGCAACATTTTTTCCAAATAATCAGAACAAAAAGAGAACCACTAGCACTATTTCATGATTCTCTTCAAATGGTCACTCAGCCCAATGAATTCTCAGCTTCATTTTAGAAAGGTATTACAGAACTAGCACCCTTGCAACTTGGAGATATTATCAAGGTACGGCTTCCTATTTCTCATCAACCAAGCCAGTTAATACCACTATTATAAAGCCCCACTAATCATATAAATCAACTGGGATATGATTTAATGCAGGATAAGTTGAGCACAGTTATTGGCAATCACTCAGACAATCTTCCCTTGCCACCCATCATCTAGTACAACTCAACACTTAAGTTGGCACCATCTCACAGAGATTTATGGAACTCACGAAGGATCCATTTTAAAAGGTTCCTCATTCCGGCTACATATTGTTGGCAGCTGGTGGTGGGTAAACACATATAGAAACTTATACTGACAATATGGCTGTTGGGCAGAAAATCCATCACAGAGACATCAGTTCCCATGTGGTAATACCAAGAATAGCAAAAACACAAAAAGAAAAATATTGTAGGATGCTGTGAGTGAGGAATGTGTTCCCAGGGTCCAGAATTAGCTGGCTCTCCTCAAATGAAAAATCTGGCAATACCATCTCAACTACTTGAACCAACGTAAGAAAGTGATGTTTAGAGTAACCTTGTATGCTGTAGTAATGACCTTTCTGACAATTTAACATAAATCCATATAGAGGAAAACTGGTCAGTGAATCAGCCTGTCCTCACACTTAGAAGAATCTTTCAATGAGACAGGACAAGCTAGAAATCTAGCCGTAACTTACAGCCTTAGCTGTAGGCAAGCTATATGAATGATCTAGTATGCTCAGAATTTTCACAGGTGCTTACCCTGTTAGCCAGTGGTGCAGATCATTATTTTTGAACCAGCACAATGCATGAAGGGTGGTTTTCACAAGCCCATCAAGACTATACACTGTCTGCCAGATTCACAAATAGATCCTGCAGTGGCTTCACAAACCATCTACTCTTAATTTAAAAGTTCTCTTCTTGCCCTTGCCCATTCTTATCCTCATCATACGACATTCTTAAAAGCCAGCCAAAGATGGGGGGGGATAATGATAAAGACGACTAAGGAGGAGATTGGGGGCAGGGCGTCAAGCGCTTCACAGAATTCAGAACGATCATGATGATGATCAGCAAATCCTAAAGTATTGCCTCATCTTGATAACATCAATACTGGACTTGGAACAGAAAAATCCATAACAAAAGTCAGAAAATACTGCCCAATCCTGTTACTTGGCATAAGACCGTTCTACCCTGGTGAATGCGCCATCCCTGTTGCAAGTCTCAGGGGATGCCCAAGAACTGCAGCATGAAACTTCATTGACCAGGGCAGAACAGACCAGAAGCTACAATTTGGTTTATGCCACGAAACAGGATTTTAGCCACTGTTATGAATTTATAGTTAGTTGTACAAATGTTCTCCCATTTCTCCAGAACATAACTTTTTAAGCAAAATCTTTAACAAAATGCTGGTTTTTTCCCTCCCAAGTCTACTGTGTTCAGCACAGGAACTGGTAATTTTACTGCTATAAACACAAAAAAGGGAGAAAGACTGAAATTAAAGATAAAATCTGCCCTAAAACTGACAAAACAAATGGTTCACCAATTTATATTTGTTAATTTGTTGACAACCACTGCTGCTTGCTAAAAGAACAAGGTTACTGTAACAGCTCCTCTCTTTCCTTACACAATGAGAAGGGGACATTTAACAGTACACTTAATTTTCATCTTCGATGGACATAGAGAGAAAACATCATAGGACTGAATCCCATGCTCATCCACAAATGCTTCAATAAAAGTGAGATTCGTGTAATAATTGCTTACAAACACAAGAGCATTTCCACCAGAATAAAAAACTGATTCCAATGGTTAATTTAAAAAGAGATCAATCTGTTTCTATTTACTTTTGTCATATTTCTGTGACTAGAACAGTTCTTATAAATTGTCACTAGATTAATCTCATCTCACCCCAAAATTTAAGCTGGTTCACTCTGATGTTTTTCTACATTGTCATGCTTCCCAATAAAAGGCAGAGATTACAGTTATTAATGTATCAGCATCTTAAAATTGGGCTGCAACATTCTAGTGAGAGATGAAGAAATAGGATGGCAAATTTCTTAATTAACACTACCGTATGACACGGGATCTCTGGCATGGACACACACACACACACATACACAAAGGCAACTCTGTTCTGCAATGGAATGTCTGAATAAACCCAGCACACATTTTGGCAGTGTTATAATGAACCTTCAACATTTTCACATTTTCTTTGCTACTGATTGTGGTGCAATCACACAGAATGTTTCAAAAGTCAATCCAAACACTCATGTGGAATACACTACAGTCCACCAAAACCATATGGTGGAAGAATGGCACATTTCAGTGCAGTCCTCATTTAAAATGTCTCTACCTGTGCAGTCATGTATTCCAGGGAGGCATTTCCTACCTGAAATGTGTTAACCTCTGCATAAGCAGGATAACTGTAATACACATAAAAGGAGATGCACTGAAAACACTATGCCCCACATGTAAGAAGTCTCAAGTAGCTTTGCAGTCAGTCTGACATCAGACAGAAATGGCCAATGATATCACAAGAAGCTTAACACCATCCTGTTTACAACAATCCATTCATAAATATAATCTATTAATGATTTGTCCAGCCATTAACACCCATCCCTCCTTTTACAGGCTGAGCCAAGTCACATTAGGGGCTGCTAGAAGGAAGCTCAAAATCCAGATACCACAGAATCCAAGTTCTTCTTTTTGAAGGGGGCATCTGTTGACCTATTTAATTCTGCGGTGCACGGTGCCCTGGTTCCCAATGTGACTAACTAGAAACTACTGGCACTGAGGGAATGAACTCCATATTTGAATAAATAGGTCACTGAGTTAGGTAAGGCGCTAGGAGTCATCTGTCCTAGGTGTCACAAGGAGTCATTAAAAAAAAGACACAAAAACCAGAAACAGATCAAGCAATAATTCAAACACCTTCTGTTATAAAATTCACAAACAGCTCATCAACATCACACTTTATCTACAGAAAATTCACCCCCCAACCAAAAAAAAGGAGACATTTTAAAACAGCAATCTAGTTGATCCACTGAAGGACTGAGGAGGATAGACGTCTTGGGTTAAATGCTAAGTTATATAAATGCGGTTTTCTTTAAAAAATGCAAACATTATTTCTTTACTTACAGACAAAATGTTACATGGTTGGCTGCTATGTGTATTCAGTTATGTACAAAAAGGTAGAGAATTAGCAGGACTGGGGGACAAGCAGAAATCCCTTCAGGACAATGCACCAAACCAAACCTAAGGCGGACTGGCTTTTTAAAGTTTCGGATCACCATGAACACCTGTGCTGCCCTCCCCTTTTTTTTCTTTGAAGAAAAAAATGACTTAAACTTCTCCCACTCACCACTTCTTCGACTGTTTTTTTTTTTTAAACTTCATTTACAGGAAGCATATTTATGCAATAATCAGTGAGTAGAAAAACTTCACCTGCAAATACAAGGTAGAAGTGTTATTTCACAGCAATAGGCTGCAGCATTGATCTCTCCGGTCTCAGTGGAGAAGGTGTGCACGTCTATCTGTCTGTGTTTTGGCTGCCAGATTAATTCCAGATTCGGAGAAAACTGTCCCAAGACCCTGTAGCTACTGCCATGCCATCATCAGTAACTCCTAAGCAGCTGACTCGGTTGTCGTGACCAGCAAGTACACCTGGCAGAACAAAAAAAGGTGTTTAATGTTCAAACAGGTCCCTGAAATGAGTGTTTTTTCAATAAAGGTTTCACTTTTTAGAGATATTAGAGATAAACACACACACACGAAATGCTGTCTGGAATAAAGACTGCATCTCCCTTGTTCCAGAAATCTGCATTGAAAATTCAATTTTTAAAAAGTTCAAGAGGGGAAAAACAGAATACGTTTGAACAGCATTCTTAATTTAGAGGGAAAAATTGGTTTTCAACAGAGATTGACATCTCATGAAATAGTGCATTCAAGAGATTGGTAATCTATTATATTTCTATTTCCGCATGATTATCAAAGTCAATCATACAGAAAGTGAGAGAAAGAAAGAAACACACACACACCTACGTGTACGTTACTTCTATCATATTTGGGCAGCATGTCACTTCCCACAATCTCCCTCACTTCCTACTCCAATTCACAATGGTAGTTTAACCCAGAAGCTTGGCTAAGGGTACTTGTAAAGATTCACAACCAAGTAATACACATGATTACTGATTCTGGCTTGAGGGAGATGGTGAGTCTCCTTACTGTCAGCCTTGAAAAGCTGACTCTCTGCATGCACATCAACCAACCTGCACGCTCCCCCTTCAGGGTGTCCCAAACGTTGCAGTTGAAATCATCATAGCCTGCCAGCAAGAGACGGCCACTTTTTGAGAAAGCTACTGATGTGATTCCACAGATGATGTTGTCATGAGAGTACATCATAAGCTCCTGATCAGCTCGCAGGTCAAAGAGCCGACAAGTGGCATCATCAGAGCCAGTGGCAAAAGCATGGCCGTTGGGGAAGAACTGGTAAGTGAAAGGAGAAACAAGGATCCCACTCAACAAGACAAAGGGAAGCAGAAAAAGGGCAGACTCAGAAATAAGTCATCTATTCATTTGTTCATTTATATTGTAAGTCACAGACTAAACTAGCCAAGTCCAAGATGGACTTGCATGTTTTTCAAAAGATGTAAGATTTCCGATTATAATGGCATTTTAGATGGCAAATGTGTCTGAAACCTTTTAATATTTATAAACTATTCTAAACATCAACTTTAAAAGCATACCAAATCTTTGTTTTTAAAAGCTGAAGATACAGATCTCTGTTCTAATCAAAAATGTGTTTTCCCCCTATCATTTAATTATTGAGACTCAGTTACTTGTTAAGAGAGAGAGAGAAACTCATAACAGGTAGGTCCCATTTTCTTGCTTCATTAACTCCACTTCTCAATCAAAAAATCCTTAGTGAAGCCAGCAAGGGACTTTACTTCCACCAACCTGAACTACCTCATTTATTTATTGCTCCTCTTACAACAGTTGGTCAAACAATATTCTATGTCCTATACTTGCAGGGGATCCATCAACATCTATCCATATCTGGGATTAAGAAAGAGCAGCTATTTAAATTTATTATCTTCCCTTTGTTTATGAGCACTGCAAGACACTTACACACACTGCATTGATGTCAGACACGTGCCCTGTAAAAGACTGCCTGCACATCCCATCTCGAATATCCCAGAGCTTAGAGGATGCATCACAGGCACCTGAAACGAAAGTGCTCATGTCTGGGCTTAAAGAAAGACTCATTACATCCCCAGTGTGTCCAGTAAAAGCAGTAGTCTGTTGGCCAGTCTCAATATCCCACAGTGCACTGCAAACAAAAGAAAAATATTTGAATTCAGCATATTAAACATCTTGCCTTGTCAGCTTTAGCACTGTTCAGCATGAAAGTCCAAGAAACTCACCAGGTAGTGTCTCCTGAGCTTGTGACTATTTGGTTGTCATCCAGAAAGCGACAACAGGACAAGTACCCTAGGGGTAAGAAAAGAAAAAAATCACCTCCTAAATTTATGGTGTGAAAAACACATGCAAATAGGTCTAAAAAAATCCATCACACTCCCTTTTTAAAGTAAGTTCATGTGGACCATAAGCATTATGTAACTGCAACTAGAAACAGTTTTTATTCATAAAACACTGAATTAATAAAAGGTTTCATTGGCACTTAAGGCCAACAGGTGGGTTAATTTAAGAGCTGAAATGGTACTCGTTTCTACAGATATGCTTAAATGTATTCCACTTTTTACAGCCAGGATATCATATAGATTAGAGCTGAAATGGGGAGTAGTAATGCTGATAGTAGTAACGGTTGTTGTTTTCAATCCGAACTTTCAGATCCATCTATTACAGCCAGAGCAGGACGACATGCAGGTGCAAGATCTGAATGCATGCTTAACTTGGAATTTGTTTTCAGTAACAAATCCAAACTCATTGTCCGTTCATCAAAAATCTATTCTTGGGTTCCTCCCAAATGTTCGTTTTAGCAGTCTAGGTTTTGCTGTGGTGAGAAGTGGGGACATTTGTTCCTATTGTTAAACAACTGTGAGTCAGAAGCCTTCATGCTCATTAGTAAATCACCAAAAAAATTGCCAGGCTTATATCTGATTTTACTCTTCCTTAGAATACAGCACTGGAATTTGGCTAAAGGGATAGAAAAGTCAGATTCCGACCTAGCTCTGAAGATCGCTGTGTGGCACTCAACAAGAATCTCAATGCTTGAAAGAAAATGGGAGCGGGGAAATCAAATGTAAAGAGCAAAGCCTAGAAGTTCACGTATTCAAAATGGAATCTATTCCAATCATTGTGTCTTAGAGCATATATTCAATTCTTTTTTGCAACATGACCCCCTCCCAGCTCTTAGGGAATTACATAAGTCTAAACAAGGCACCATTTATCAGAAACAATTTTAATAAGCAAAAAGAAGAAAGCAGCTGACCAGTATGGCCGGGTAACTCTCTGCTCACTCGTACATTCCCTTCTCTTGTCTTCAAATTGTATATCGAGCAAATGTTGTCCAATCCACCGCAGGCAACGTAATTGCCAGATGGTGCATATGCACAGGTCATTACCCAGGAAGATCTCAAAGGAATAGCATGCATCTTCAGAGAGAAAAAAGAAAAGATAATGTAAGAGAGAAATGTCAACTCCTCTGGTAGGGTCAGATATCCCCCTACTGCTATGGATGTTTCAGCTATGATTGCCTGAATTACCACAGATGTCTAGTTATGATACTGAAAGATAGTTAATCACAGAATCATAATTCACAGCCTGTTTTCTAGAAGGCATTTCAAGATTTTATATTATGGTAAACAATGTTAGAATAAAGCAAAACAAAAGGTTGTTTTCAGCCAGAAGCATGTGTTCAAAACAGCAAACATTAGATGTTGTTCAAACAGAATCATCATCATTTTGCTGCTCTGTTTTAACTGCCAAAACCTCTAGCATCTCTTTCCCTGTCCCAACAGTCTCCTGTGACCTGTTGGTTAATAAAATAGTATTTCTATCATCTCATACTTTTTCCAGTCCTCTACACTGAAAACACAGATCTGCCAAACAGCAGTCAGTTCTTATCTCCTATTTCCTGGAGGTCAACTAATCAACCAAAATTTGACTCTTGCTAGGATTCCACTCTCTTAAGGGGCAGGGTGATGGAAACACTGTATGAAGTCAGAGAGAGATTCCATGCTTCCCTTTTCAGCTATAATCCTGAAAAGAAAAGGACAGAGCTTTATCTCCTCTAGAAGCTCAGAACTGGATACAGGACATGAGGCCCACTCTGCCTCTAAATTCCTCAGCTTCTACAAACTCAGAACACCTCTGAGGAACACAGGTGAACCGACATGCCTCAGCCTCCTGTATCCTACCGATAGATATTGCCCACCATTAAAAAACAACAACACCTGAATAGCAGCCCTGAAAATAAAGCTTATTCTTTTTCGTAAGGTAGACCTAGGATAGAAAATACTTTAAACACCTGCAATTCTTCAGAGAGGTCCCCATTTTCAGGTTATAATAAAACTTCTCTGTTTGATCAGAAAACCTGTGAGTCTCATAGGATTTCTATAACTCGCCCACCAAATAATCCCACTCCTTCACAAAAGTGTTGAAACCCAACAGTACATTGACCCAAGCAAATGAGCCACAGCTGTTAAGAGCAATAGACAGAAAAGTCAGTGAGAAGATGGAGTTAACAGGCTCATATTCAAAAGGAAATGAAAGCAAGGCAAATAATATTAGAGTTGGGAAAGGAAAAAACTCAAGAAGCAAAAAAGGCAATAAAGAAAAAATGGAAAAAGTAATATTCCAGGTAGAGAAAAATAACAACAACAAAAATTAAAAGTAGCAGTGTAAACAAAAAGCAAAGTCCATCAGTAAAAGGCATATAAAAATGCCAAAGAGGATTATGGTGTTTTTTTTTTAAAAAAAACTCTACCTTGTTTGTGGTATAACTATCCCAAATAATTAATTTTCCATCTTGGGAAGCACTCACTAGTAGCCTAAAGATAACCACAGAAAACAAAACACACACACACAAAAAAACACATGTTAACAAGTTAACGTTTTGCCTCCCTGTTTCTGATTTCAAAAATGTCAAGTGTTTCATACAAGTCATTAAGATGCCAGTTTCATCTCTTTTTCTTTCAAGTTGGTAGCTTTTGGCATAAACAGAGGACATCCAGTCCACATGCTACAAAGTCCATCACCCTTTTCTAATCTTAGCAAAATGACTAAATATCTGATGGAAGGAGTCGGGGGGGGGAGAAGAGCCCCACATATTGTCCTTTCTTTAAGGGAAAGTTCTGATGACTCAACATGGTTGGGGCAACTTTTCCCCACCACAATGCATTTTTTTTCTCCACAGCCACTGGGAGAAAGGGAAGATGCATTCTCAGAGGGAACTGTGAGGTGAAGATAAATCTACCCTGTCCATTAACAAGGACAGTTGGTGAGGAGGGGAAAGGAAGACGGTTCTATATATAGGAATAATCTTGTTAGTTATAGTCCATTTACTAAGAACCACTGAATTAAAGAGTTCACAATTCCAGTAATTCAAGCCCCACTACACAGGTATCCCAGTTGCTCATGTGATGGTACAGACAAGTTTAGCACTCTGGAACCTGGGGCTTCCAAATATACATTAATTGATACTAAAAGCAATGCAAAGCAATCTATCCATATCATTCTGGAAGAAGGAATCAGGCTTAGACACTAAGACTTTAATATACTAATATAGTTCCAATTATCAAAAGATTCTGTGGCTTGTTTGGAAAGGTGTTAAAAGTTTTTGTTTGTTTTACTTAAGTACTTTGCTAAGAATACATTTTCTGTAGTGAAGTACAGTGGTGCCTCACTTAGCAGTTAATCCGTTCCGGAAAAAACATCACTAAGTGATTTCATTGCTAAGCAATTTTAAAAAGCACATAGGAACGTATTAAAAGGCGTTTAATATGTTCCTATGGGCTAAAAACTCACCTTAAAGCGAATTTCCTCCATAGCGGCGGCCATTTTGGGTGCCTCTACAGCGAAGCTAAACAGTGGCCGCTATTTTTTTGCGGCGGCCATTTTGGAACCGTCGATCAGCTGTTTAAAAAAGTTCGCTTTGCCATGATCTCTTCCCCGCGATCATTGCAAAGCGAATTTTAGCCATATGGGCCATCGCAAAGCGATCGCTCTTGCGATGGCCAAAAGTCCATTGCAAAGCGATTTCATCGCTCAACGGAGCGATCGCTAAGCGAGGCACCACTGTATAGTATCTTCATATACAGGGTATGACTGATACATTTAAATAAATCAGTGGCTGGTCCTCAAATGTTCTTGGACTAAAACTTCCAGAAGCCCCCACCACTAGCAGTGTTGGCCAGGATTTCTGAGAGTTGTAGCCTAAGAGCATCTGGGAACTGAAAGTTGGGAACCACTAAAATAAATAACTATTTCTTTCAAATATAATAAAATATAAGTGTTTTATAAAGATATGTCTAAAGTACCACCTGCTACATTCTGGGATTTCTCTTTCAAGACTAACAGTGGTTTCTCACACATTGTTCTTTCTTTGCTTCATTTCATCTATTTTTAACTGACAGCCAGATTGCCCAACTATAAGTACACATTTAAGTTTTCCAAATTATATGAACATCCTCTGCCTTTTATACCAACTGTAGTACAAACCTTGAATCAGATCCCCAGTGCATGGCATAAATTTTTGCTAAATGGCCTCTCAAGGTACGTCTTGTGCGCATCTGGATTCGACCCACAGAATCAAGACTTGTGGTGATCTAGGCAGAGAAGGAGGGGAACAATATTATTCAAAAACGATCTCCTAGACAGATTACAGGAACAACAATCTAGAATATCAGGATATATCACAAGTGCTACTCATTACTGCATTTTCTTACATGGAGACAAACTGAACGAATCTCAAACTGACACCAGCATTATCATGCTTGCATAAGTCGTCATAACAAGAAGCAAGACCGTGAGGCAGTAGTTCTAAATAGGTTACTGATACATTATCCAGTCAGAAACCTCATGAGGCCCACCAGGTCTTTAGGATATAGAACTGATGCCTTACCAAAAGAAAAATAAAATTTACCACCCATGGTGCCCTAATGGCCAGCATCCAAAAACAAGTGTGTGATATTAATTTTAAATAAATACATAAGCATCATATTCATAAACAAACATACCTGAGCAAGAGTTGTGTCACTACATGCTTTTCTGGCATCCTTTAAAAAAAAAGAGATGATATTTATAAAACAATTAAAATTAGTCACATAACCCAGCTTGAATCTATTTACACCATGAAGAAGTCCTGACTTTTTATTTATTTATTTAATCATGAGCAGAATCAAGGACTGTAAAGCTTCTGCTAAACTGTGACAACCTGTAGTGAAGAATAATACATTTAGATGTTCACTCACAGAAGGAAAAAAAATCAAAACTCTATTCTACCACAAAAATGGTAGAATTTATCAGGGATTTTAGCCATGTTTCTTCTTGGCCTATTAAAATTTTACATACAGGACAATTTATTCCAAATGGCATGGTCAAACATGTCAATATTACTTGCAGCTTACAGTACGGTACTACATGCAGAGAAAAAAAAGTTACCACTGACAGGAGGCGGTGACATTAGGACCATGGGTGGAATCACAAACCTTTTTCACAATATGCTTGTTCCCTGAATCAATCAAAAGTCTGTCTGCCCTACAGGTCTCAAGGGGAAAGCCTGTTTCCTTTCTCTATCTAATATAAATACTAAGGAATTCACACTACTACACGCTTGCTTCCCTGTGCCCATTCCCCATAAATCTGCCTGCTAGGGTGAAAGAACTGGAAGGGAGGGAAAATACTGTGCGCAGTTTTTGTATGACTGTGCCTGGGGTTGTGATTTGGGCCTTGTGCATAAGAATGGCCTCCACAAAAGGCAACAAACTCACATCTGGGAAAGCGTGGGAGAAGGGAGGGGAAGAGGCATGGGAAAAAAATAATCTCATAATTCTCTTTCCCCACTTACTACTACTCAGGGTCACTGCAGAAATGTGTGAAGATGACATCTTACTCTGATTTGACTCCGGAGCTGTTCTGCCTCCTGCCGCAACTGTTCCAGTTCACTCATCCTCTTGAATGAGTCTTCTTCCCACAATTACAGTATTAGTTAAGTGAGGTCTCCTTAACAAAGGGGGGGGGGAGAATACAAAGAATGTCAGTCATTAGCATACAACAGCTTATATTTTTGAACAGCTGTCTGGTGGAGTCAGAGAAAGAGGCTAGAGCCCCCGCCCAGTCCATGAGTAGGACATGAGCTAAAGTCACAAGTCCAGATAGAAGTTTCCAAAGTACCATATTTTTCCATTTATAAGATATCCCCCCCCCCACTTTTCTAACCCAAAAATTTAGAAAAATTAGCTTTGAGTACTCAGCCTCTGGGCTCAGAATGCATGGACATTAGGAGTCCCTGTTGTATCTAAGCCTACAGGCTCCACCTCCAACGAGGTGTGTTCCAATTGGTTTGTACAGCATCAGCTGATGTCAGTTCCATAGTGCTTGTGACTGGTGGAAGCTAAGTCTTCTGACTGGTGGAAGCTAAGCCTTGTGCTTGAAGGAAGCCTGTTTATAGAGGCAAGGTACAGGCCATTCTGTTCTCTCAGTGTTCTAAGTTTACTTCCATGTAAAAGACACCCCTCATTTTTTAGCATAATAATTTTAAGAAAAAATACCATACACGGAAAAATACAGTCCCTGGTTGAGAGAAGCTCCTCAAGAGAAAGAGCTTCCTCCAGAATAGGTGGTCTTCTTGAATGAAGCCCTAGCTCTTAGGGAGACCAGCAGACCAAACCCTTCAGGTGAATTCCTTCCTCAGTTGGAGACATACCTGAAACTAAGTATGGGTGGGCTCTCAAATCTTCTGTTTGAGACTGAGTTATTGGAGACCTCCTCTTTAATGGTTCTTACTCTTGCATCATGCAGGAGTACCTGTATCTTTAACTGCTGCATTGTGCATTTTGTTTGGGCTAGATGACTACACACCTTGGATGCTTCCTACTGGTTTTCAATGGATACTGATCTAGCTTTACTTTTTGGATTTTCGCTGGTCTGTGGGGCTCTAGATCTCCTTGATTCACCCACCTCTACAGTAAGCCTCTAGCTATTGACTTTCTGCATTTATCTTTACATCTTATCTTAGAACTGCAGAACTGGAAGGGACCCGGGAGTGATTATCCTTGTCTCTCAATTCAGCAATACAAAGCATATATCAATATGACTTTTAGTATATAAAAGACCAGATCTTACTGAACTTCCATTTTCCAAAAGTTCGACCAACATAATTAAGCATCATGCTGCGTGTTGTAAACATTGCCACTACACAAGAGAGGATGAGTTTTCATCTGAAGATTACAGACTGTATGACAATGCTTGTTCAAGTGACAGAATAAAAGCAATGGCAAAAGAGTAGACTTGAGAATAAGAACTAGACATGGGGACGAATATAAAAACAAACTGCAATATTCAACAAATATTGCTGATTCGTCAGATATTTGTTGCTTTGTATTCTTGAGGTCCAGAGACCCTGATGAATATGGAGCAATGAATGTAACCCTTTTATATTTATTCATTATCTATCCCCATCTGTTTATGCCCGAAATAAGCAGAAAGGGTTTTTCTTTCCGGGCAGCTTGCTAAAGCCTGCCCAAAGGGAATCCCACCCCCACCCCCATTTACAAAGACAGGGGGATTACTTTGCTCAGGCTTCCTCTGTTTTTCTATCTATCTACGGCACAGAGAGGGGAAGCCTGACCAAAGGAATTCTCCCCGCTGTTTTTGCAAAAACAGCAGGGGTGGGGGATCCCTTAAAGATCCCACGTTGATCCTGCTTTCCCATCTTCCTATGCCCACTAGGGCATAGAAAGATGGGGGAAGCCTGACGGAAGCAATTCCCCACCCCTGCTGTCTGTAGAAAGGCAGCAGGGGAATCACCTCAGTCAGGCTTGCTGAAAGGGAAGCCTTCCCTGCTGCTCCTAGCAGAAGCTAGGCAGAAGGAATTGAAACCATGTGTTACATACAGCACTGATGTTACCTGTCTGTCATGGGTTTGGAGGGAAAGTTCCATCCTATGGGGAGTGGAAGGCGGGACATCAGGAGGAGGGGCTGTACTGTATATATATGTGAAGCTTGTGTGAAGAGCTAAGAAGAAGCTGAAGAGAAGAAGCTGGTGTGGGAGTCTGTGTGTCAGACAGGGTACTACTGTGTGTCAGAGTACCAACCTGATAGGTTCAGGTGTCTGTATGGTTAGCCAGAACTGATAGGTTCAGGGTCTGTGCTTCAAGTTAAGGGTTCTGTGTGAACCAAACTGTATGCATGTATGAATGAGACTAAGCCACGTTACTATATCTTATTCACCTGATCATTTTATTTTCCCTGTGTGTTGTTTTAAATAAACCTTATTCTTTTATTTGTTAAAAATCCATCCCTGGTCTGTGTGACTTCTTATAGGGAATGGTTGGTGGCAGCTTAGTTAACGTGTGGCAGATCCCAGTAGGTCTGGGTTTGTCACATTGATTGGTGTCCAGCGTGTGGGATACGACTGGTCCAGTTGTCCAGTGGTCCAGCAAAGCCTTGGCAAGTGTGCCCAGAGCAAGGGGGGTCTAGTCAGGGACAATCTGAGAGCGCGTAGGTAATCTTCTAGGTGTGCCTCACGGGGGGGTGCACTAGTAGAAGAACGTGTAACCTCAGATTGGGGGCTAGATTAGGGAGCTCTGAGGCA